GTAGTAAATTAATACTGTTTATATAGAGACAACAACACAAAATATAAACACAACCATCTTAATCCAACATAATCTTTACCCCTGCTCAACCTTCAAGGTTGAAATTTGACCACACAAAATATGTTTGATAAATGTTGGTCTCTTAACCATAGTATAATATAATCACTCCAAACTTTACGGATCTTCAGACAAAGATTTCACTAAATCTGACACATGTCGATAATTGGTTAAGATAACTGATATACCATTACTGGTTATATTAACCTTATATCACCACATCTTAGTTATTTGCAGGCCGAATTATGTCACCATGTTTTTTTCTTTAATTTTCATTTTCACGATTGTTTACATTTTACCAATGATAAACCCAGTTCATCTTTGGTCTTCCTAGCGCTCAAAGTTGACTATTGACTATAGAAATTGGTTCAACTGTTTACTAGAAGTAGCGTTTCAAATTGAAAGGAAACACCGTCGGTTGATGGACGAACGACGGATGCTGTTTGTACCCTCTAAGCTCACTGGCAGTTCATGGTATTACAGATTCTAAAACAAGATGTCTGTTATTAGATTTCCTTCGCAAAGTAAGGAAACCACGTTAAATTAATGTATCGAAGTATTCAGATTATCATCCCTAAGTTTACTTTGATGTTTTTGGGATCAAGCACTAGCACTGCTTATGATCTGGAAATCCGGAGGTTCCCCATGCTATTAAACGGCGATAAATGTGACGTTGCCAGATGTGTATCTATCAGCGAGCAGTACACATTGACCAGCCAATGAAATCCGTCGTTACAAATCCGAAGGAAGTTTTTAAACATTTCATTCATAAATCATTCTAATTGGAAAACAATGACAGCTACTTCAATATATGTATAACCGTACATTATAGACTCCGCTGTTAATAATGCTCATTATTAGATGTGTTACTGTACTCTTGTTAGTCGGACTAATCCTTTGATATTTGCACTGCTAGATTTTAATTTATGATATCGGTTAATACAAAAACAGAAAAAAATTGACAACCCTTTCCCGAAACAATCCTCAGCTGAGATAATTATTACCACCATCTTTAAAAAGATTTTTCTTAAATCTTCGTTAAAGATTATCTGAGTTAGGATATTGATGTAGTTGTCCTTGTAAAGTCATTAACTGCCTATTTGTCGTAGTTGGTGGTACTTAGCGGGAAGACAGATTCAGATGCTCGTGGAACCTGTTAGCATTAGTCACACCTCAGCCATTTGTCTTGCCGTCATAATCAATGGCCTTCTCTGTACTCCTTTCGCGGGGAATTTTCCACTGTCGTAATTCCATGCCGATGAATGGTATTTTTCCATTCCTGGTTTTTCAGACAGTTTAGATATGAATCAAAACGAGGTAACGGGCAAAGTTAACTGGTGCTGATGACTTGACGCCACGGCGTGTTTTCCCCGAAATTTGTTTAACACAAGTGCGCCGTTTAATTCAGAAAATTGTATTCCGTTCTTGGTTTGCCCAGAGCTTTGTTTCCACTGCACACTGTGTAGGTTTCTGACAATTCCAGACAGCTGATTTGAGTTTGACCAAATGTTGTTTATATCTTTTCTGCGTGTGATTTAATATCATATGAATTGTAACTAACCCTGTGATGTATATTAACATATTAAACAAACTGCCTCACATCATGTAAAGAAATCAAAAATTACAAATTGAACTTCATATGGAATCAACAGCTAAGAGTTTTGGCAATGTCAATTTGAAGGACGCTAGTTGAAATTTTGATTGAATAAACTGTATTTTTCATGCTACATCTCTCGAAGCTTTATAAAAGAACTGAAGATGAAAATTCAGCATCCTGGTGTAGAAGAGTTCTTTAATAACTGAACGACTTAATTTTCCTCTAATGTGCAATAACAATAAGTGGCCCGCTTTGTTTGTCTATCATCGGTTCGGTCCCGAACAAATGTGATAATGCTGTAAGACACGAACAACCCAATAATATATTTGTCTGTTAATATAAGCGGAACCTATCGATTACCTTTCTCTGTATACTGATAATAATGCAATTTACACGACAAAACATTACCATTGTGTCAGAGGACAAGGAAAGCGTCTGATGGTGATTATCGGTGATATTTCAGTAATATATCTAAACCACACGCAGGTCATTAACATACAGAACATGTTTCCGAACTTCTACCTATCAACAAAAGACATTTTGAAACATTACGCAAGAAATTTTTTCTTGTGTTTTGTCAACATGGCCCTAGCTATAGTGGCGTGTCTTGTGACTCTATGTCATATATTTTGTCACGTGTACAGTAGGTTATTAGCGTCAACCTTAGTCGGCGACCATTGTGCAATAGATTATCAGCTTCGACCTTAGTCGCCGACCACTGTACAGTAGGTTATTAGCTTCAACCTTAGTCGGCGACCATTGTGCAATAGATTATCAGCTTCGACCTTAGTCGCCGACCACTGTACAGTAGGTTATTAGCTTCAACCTTAGTCGGCGACCATTGTGCAATAGATTATCAGCTTCGACCTTAGTCGCCGACCACTGTACAGTAGGTTATTAGCTTCAACCTTAGTCGGCGACCATTGTGCAATAGATTATCAGCTTCGACCTTAGTCGTCGACCACTGTACAGTAGGTTATTAGCTTCAACCTTAGTCGGCGACCATTGTGCAATAGATTATCAGCTTCGACCTTAGTCGCCGACCACTGTACAGTAGGTTATTAGCTTCAACCTTAGTCGGCGACCATTGTGCAATAGATTATCAGCTTCGACCTTAGTCGCCGACCACTGTACAGTAGGTTATTAGCTTCAACCTTAGTCGGCGACCATTGTGCAATAGATTATCAGCTTCGACCTTAGTCGCCGACCACTGTACAGTAGGTTATTAGCTTCAACCTTAGTCGGCGACCATTGTGCAATAGATTATCAGCTTCGACCTTAGTCGTCGACCACTGTACAGTAGGTTATTAGCTTTAACCTTAGTCGGCGACCATTGTGCAATAGATTATCAGCTTCGACCTTAGTCGCCGATCATTGTACAATAGGTTATTAGCTTCAACCTTAGTCGGCGACCATTGTGCAATAGATTATCAGCTTCGACCTTAGTCGACGACCATTGTAATGTAAGTTATTAGCTTCAACTTTAGGCGGCGACTATTGTACAATAGGTTATCAGTTCCGACCTTAGTCGCCGACCATTGTGCAGTAGGTTATCAGTTCCGACTTGAGTCGCCGACCATTGTACAGTAGGTTATCAGTTCCGACTTAGTCGCAGACCATTGTACAGTAGGTTATCAGTTCCGACCTTAGTCGCCGACCATTGTACAATAGGTTATCAGCTCCGACGTTATTCGGCAAACATTGTACAGTAGGGTATCAGTTCCGACCTTAGTCGCCGACCATTGCACAGTAGGTTATCAGCTCCGACGTTATTCGGCAAACATTGTACAGTAGGGTATCAGTTCCGACCTTAGTCGCCGACCATTGCACAGCGGGCTATCAGCTTCAACCTTAGTCGGCGACCATTGTACAGTGGGATATCAGTTCCGACTTGAGTCGCCGACCATTGTACAGTAGGTTATCAGCTCCGACTTAGTCGCCGACCATTGTACAGTAGGTTATCAGTTCCGACCTTAGTTGCCGACCACTGTACAGTAGGTTATCAGCTGCGACCTAAGTCGATGACTATTGTGGAGTAGGCTATCTGCTCCGACCTAACATATGTACATTATAAGTTCCTACCTTAGCAGTCGAAATGTATGCAGATTATAAGTTGCAACCTCAGTCGTCGAAGACATTTGCAGATTATAATCTCCGACCTTAGTCGCCGACCAGCATAGTTAGGAGAAAAGCTCCGGCCATATTCTTTGAAGACAAATTATCATTTTCATTCTACCTATTAGTCAAACAATTAGCCGTTGAAGACATGAACGCTACTTCAATTAATGCGTAGGTTATAAATTGTTGTTTTGATTTTTACACTTATCTAATATTAATTAATTTTCAAACAATTAAGAAGTGGAACTTATGCAAACCTGTCACTAAAAATTGTCTGTCATCATCTTGATCCGATTTGTTGCAAATGTTTCCAAAATAGTTACGACTGTTAAACAATAAGGTTATACAAACAAAAACCTTTGTTAAAAGAGATCCGATCTGATGTAATTCATATCAAAACGTAATAACAATAGTTCCGTCCTCAGCAGAGTAACGTCTTAGAACCGATAAACAGATCATGTAATGTTCATAACCCGTACTTATTTGCGTAGGTGGTAATTATGTTGAATCCCAGTTTGTTTGATGGTCGGACATCTCGTTATACCAACGTGCGAACATCGTTGGTACTTTGACCTATATTTTTGATTATTAAAATCTCGGATCTCTAGTTAAATCAAACCAAAAAGTCCGAATACCCAGTAAGGCAAATACAGACAGAGCCTTACTAGAGCCTATTGATATTAAAAGCATGAAACCATCCCCACCTCCCTTTTTTTCCATCAGAATAATCTTAAATAATCCGACATAGGCCATTGAAAAATATTGCTCGCTTGCAGTACACTAGCGTTCACTGTCCATTTAATGACATTTTAGTGTTGATCGAAACACGTTTTAATCAGATCCAAAAACCCTCGTTATTTTCCTCATACCGTCCCTTTTCTTTAAGATGGACAGGAGCAGGCAACGTTGTCTGTTGATATGGATAAAAGCTTGGGTGCGTTTGCGTGTCCCATGTCCATGAACAGTCAGAATCACTGACAGGTCAATACTTTGGACGGTTGGTCGGCTTAAAAGCAATTGTTTTTGGGAAATAGTCGAATATGGAAACTACATTGACATAGAGTCAGGGAACAAAATCAACAGTTACATTTTTTTTTAATCAACTGTTTTTGTTTTGATCTTGTGACGTAATGAATAGTATTGAGAATCTGTACAAATTATTATGACGTAATATACGATGTTTATTGTGTATTTTTGTGTGACGTAATCAAAATCTCTGTGTTAAAAGGGCCGCCAAGTTCCTGAGAGAGTGCTCCAGCAGTCGGGTGATCGCAGTACTTGGATTCTTCGTCGCCTTGCCAGCTTTCCTCATAAGTATGCATACCTTACATATATACCTCTAACATGATTTGTCCAATAAAATGTCAGAAACGTAGGAAAGTTCTTTGAAGTGTTTGTTAAGGAGTCCATACTGTTAAAAGGCCTTTCAGCGTTGAATTTTAAGTCATAAACATAAAACGAAATGGAAAAGTAGTCTGAAGTAGTGAAAATATTTACTTTTCTCTAATATGGCAGTTACTTCCACCAGCAGTGAGAAGCTAAATTCTACCACCGAATTTAAGTAGGAGCATGTTGCACAGTCAAGTTGTTGTTGTACGAACACAAAACAATTTTAGTGGCTGACGATGGCGGTTAGCCGAATTATTGAAAGATATTGTCTATAAGATCTAAAGTTGGGTCAGCTAAGAAACGAAGCACAGAATGAACAGGTTAATAAACAATAGAACAAGTTTAATCAACATTAGCAAAGCCGTTGAAAGGTAGAAAACGGCAACTAGAGCCGTCTCACTTTAGTCGATCGACTAAAATTGGTTCTCCTCCTGCCAGACAATGGGCCGTAAAGACGTTATACTCGAAGTTACACTCGTTGCCATTCAGACCTGACGGCTTTAATTGACTTTTTAACCACCTTATATATGGGTATTTTATGTGTCTTTACCATCCTTTAAACTAAAGTTGCGCTTTTCTTACGTGACACACGTAACTGTCGGTTAGCGAATCCCTATGTTGCGCTATGTCTGTGATATCCAAGACACTATATAGACATACAAACTTTCTTTTCAGTTGATGCCATTTCGCCGCTGTTAGGTACATATATTGTGATCCTTATTTGTAACATAGTTTTAATGGCGAAAGCCCATTTAACAGATTGTGCGTTTCTTTTCAATTCATTAGTCTGTGGAAATAAGATAAACAGGCGCGTGATTGGTAATTAAGAATGATATCAAAAAATTATACTTGATGGGAAAACCTCAATGCTAAAATGATACATCATTGAAAAACTCCAAAATTACAAATAACGCCCAATTATCAAGTCTAGCAACCAGCCAGTGATAATTTAATTAAATTAAAAGTTAAAAGGGTGCTACATTAAAAAAAATTGTATACATTTCCCCACCTCGTTATGGTTACATACAGTTCCACGCCGCTATGTTGTGTTGTCCTTGCTTGACCCACTCTCTGTATATACATTATTTTATTTTTATCAGCGCTGATTCTGTTTGTGGTGTTACGACTGGACTCAACCCCTGCTGTCACCGCCACTGTCATTATGTCCATCGGCGTCCTCTTCGGTATCCTCAGCGTCATGCAGAACATTTACCACTGGCACTACGAAATATCTCGTGCGGCAGACGGACTTCCGGTTTACGACACGAATTTACAGAAATCTCTGCAAGAGCGAAAACCAAGAAATGAACTTAATACACTTGTATGATACAACGCTTTAGTTTTCATTTTGCTTATGGTTTCTTTTTCATACCAATGCTCAAAAATAACAATGTGACACAATCCTGTCTTGTCCAAAATGGAGTGTCCATGCACTTCCGGTATTGGACATAAGCGATCGTTTTGATGATGCAAAAGAGTGATACATCGATACAAGAATGAAGTAAATTGCTCTTGTGTTTGGAGAAAATGAACATGTAAATAATATGCGGTAAACATATAATTTAAAAGATTTGGCATAAAAAATGATATGCATTTAGATCATTTTAAAGGATGCTGACAACAATACAGTTTGAACGAGAACTTTTATTACAAACAATCAGTTCTAGAACATGTTTTAATGACAAGTTTTTAATTCTTTAGAAGTGAAATTTTATGAAACATTTCCTTATAAACAATCACATATTCACCGTGTTTATTTTACTTAATGTCATAGGTAAGTTGAAGTTCGTTTTAAAATCAGTCTGTATGGATACAGCACTGTGTCTGCCACTACAAACAGTGTGTGGTAACGATGAACAGAGCTTGGAGTATGTCTGTTATCGATTTGTGAAGAAACACAAGCAAAACGTACTAAAGATCATGATACTAATTTAGACGTATTGCACATCTCAGTAGAATTCATGTGTTCGAGCGAACTACGGTATGTAAAGAGCCATCAAATTCACATTCCATTGTATTATAGAAAAAATCCCAAACCAATTTGTCCAGTGGGAATAACATCAATGCCTAGACACTTTCTAGATTATGATAAATGCGTTTAAAACAATTTCCCCGTATTGCAAACAGAAAATTATTCCTTTCATCGACAACAATTTCCCGCCTGATTTTGATGAAGCGAGACAAGTAAGTGATTAGACAAAACACACCTGTGTACAATGCAGGTCGATAAAGCATATGATTTCACTGAGATCTCTTTTTTTTCTTGGTGGGATATGAAGTTGGACTTGTTTGATGCTCGTTATTACGCAAGTTCTTTCCAATGTTTTACTTTGTTCTCAATTGATTGTGAAAATCACATTACTTGTAAATATCTGGATGTAAGTTAGAAACATCAGACGATACTTTCAGTAACATCAGACGATACTATCAGTAACATTAGACGATACTATCAGTAACATCAGACCATACTCTCAGTAACATCAGACGATACCGTAAGTAACATCAGACGATACAGTGAGTATCATCAGACGATACAGTAAGTAACATCAGACCATACTATCAATGACATCAGACGATACTATCAGTGACATCAGACGATACTATCAATAACATCAGACGATACAGTAAGTAACATCAGACGATACAGTAAGTAACATCAGACGATACTTTCAGTAACATCAGACGATACTATCAGTAACATCAGACGATACTATCAGTAACATCAGACGATACTATCAGTGACATCAGACGATACTATCAGTAGCATCAGACGATACTATCAGTAACATCAGACGATACTATCAGTAGCATCAGACGATACTATCAATAACATCAGACGATACAGTAAGTAACATCAGACGATACAGTAAGTAACATCAGACGATACTTTCAGTAACATCAGACCATACTATCAATGACATCAGACGATACTATCAGTGACATCAGACGATACTATCAATAACATCAGACGATACAGTAAGTAACATCAGACGATACAGTAAGTAACATCAGACGATACTTTCAGTAACATCAGACGATACAGTGAGTAACATCAGACGATACTTTCAGTAACATCAGACGATACTATCAGTAACATCAGACGATACTATCAGTAACATCAGACGATACTCTCAGTAACATCGGACGATACTATCAGTAACATCAGACGATACTCTCAGTAACATTAGACGATACTATCAATGACATCAGATGATACTATCAGTAACATCAGACGATACTATCAGTAACATTAGACGATACTATCAGTAACATCAGACGATACAGTGAGTAGCATCAGACGATACTATCAATAACATCAGACGATACAGTAAGTAACATCAGACGATACTATCAGTAACATTAGACGATACTATCAGTAACATCAGACGATACTATCAGTAACATCAGACGATACCGTGAGTAACATCAGACGATACCATCAGTAACATCAGACCATACTATCAGTAACATCAGATGATACTATCAGTAACATCAGACGATACTCTCAGTAACATCGGACGATACAGTGATAGTAGCATTACACGATACTGTGAGCAACATCAGACGATACTGTGAGATACGTCAGACGATACTGTGAGATACGTCAGACGATACTGTGAGATACGTCAGACGATACTGTGAGATACATCAGACGATACTGTGAGATACGTCAGACGACATTTTAAGTTAAATCAAATGAATTGGTGGGTATATTAGGCTATGAGTTTATCAGACAAATACTAAACATTGATAGAAGATGATATAAATAATGTATGTATGTATCCTGTTTATTAGGTTTATTATTGTGTTGACATGAGAATCGTGTTATTGACGTAGAATCACTAGAACATTACATGTTCCAATGATGTTTTATCAATTACTTAGTTGTATATAACGACATATCAATCTTTTAACTTTAGAAGTTTTGACTGATTTTGATGACGAAGACTTTACCACTCACAACAGGTATGATATAATAGTTAAGGAGCTTGCTTTCCACTGTCCACGTTTATATTAACTTCTGAATGTAAACAAACATCTCTTTTTTTTCATTGTTTTTTGTGGTGTGCTAAAGAGACTGCTTCTTATACTTAGATGTAACCAGTGTCATACCTTTGTTTCTTGAATAAATCAGAAATGAAGATTTTTAAATTATGCAATGAACGTCATAGAATAAAGAGGTAAGCATTGTGTAGGTTTTCTACAACATAATTCTTTTTTCGCTGTTGATTTTCTTTATACGTTGATGCATGTTAAATTTTACTTTGTACTAGGTACAAGAACTAATTTTTTTTTCTTTTCTGACATAATTAATCGATCAATTAATGCGATCACTGGAAGTACACACTAATTATTATTTCTTTCTTTGTGTGCAATATTTAATTTGCTCAATTGATGATGTAGTACACACTTACCGTACACGTATTTAACAATTACGACACATGTAGAGCACATTTACCCTAAACGATACAAGTAGAACACATTTACCACATATAAAGCACAAAAGAATTAGCAAGCGGAACTAGAAACACACCGAAATGAAATAGAAAACAACATGAATCCTACAAACATTTAAAGGCAATTTCTAGTTCCCAAGCGAGAAAGAAGTGTATTCATATATTTTGAACAGGCTTGTTTAAAAAATGTAACTACATAAGATCTTGCTCTAAGGGAGATAACCTGATCTTGAATCAGTAGAAAAAAACTTATTCAGCAAATCAGATAGAAGTATCCATTCTGACATCAAAAACAAATGATATTGATAGACCGTCTTATGAATAAGGCAAATTTTTTAACATTCACATCTCATGAATATATCGATAAAATCACGGTTTCTGTACATGCAAGACAGATTGAATTTGTACGTTTTAAGAATACAAACATTTGACAATATACACAATCATGTATTCACATATATACTGTAAGAAACTATCACGACGTATAAAAAAACACATGGTAAAATCCCATTTTATCAACAGTTTTAAGCAAAAATATAGGTACTCGGTCGTTTCTATTGTTTAAATTTGTCGGATTTTGTCATAGACACAGAAATAGGTTCAATGTGATGTTATATCCATCGTTTTACCCTCCTGAGCTGACAAGGATAGTGTTGGATTCTTCTAAATCTCCAATATCTTCACGATGTAACTGATATTGTTTTTGTGTAAATATTCAATTCAGTGTAGAATGATAGATCAGAAGCACAGTTCCATCATCATCAAGTAAAGATTCTATTTTAAAATAGAAAATACAATGCATAGCGTTTTGAAATGAATCCAAAAAAACTTGCTAGATAAACAAGTTTATATTAGCGCAACAGCGAAGGGAAAGAGGTTTACAAACAGTGTTGATATGAGCGATAGGATCTAGATAAAAACGTTATATGGTACCCTGAAGTAAAAGTTAAGGAGATAATTGATACGACTGTTTAGAAGACTGACAGGTACCAGCATATTTCTCCTATGTTTGTTGTAATTGAGATTTAGATATTGACATTCCCTCCACGAATGTGTTCGCCACCGTGTGGATAATTATGTGATAAATACGATGACTTAACAATGAAATAGTTATCTTGCCAATGTGAACTTATTCGGTGATTGTTTTCGTTACAGTTACCAATTACCAGTTTAATCTTGCAAGAATACAAATATCTTCTTTTTAATTACTAATCTTTATGGGTATAATCACTGTTAATTATATAAAGTTTACGTGTATTTAATTATCCTGAATATTATATGATCTTGAGAATTAATGTGTCAATTCAATAGGAGCAAATGACATTATCCAGAATTCTTTGTATATCCTATATCTAGAAGTGATTACCATTTTAAATGTTTGAGTGTATCTTGATTATAACGATGTATTCAGTGTTACATATTAAAACATAATGTAAGGAGTAACTCGATATACGTATGTTTTACATTGATTGGAATAAAATCCATGCTAAATCTCAGGTGTCTTTTTTGTGATATTTCGATAGTTTTGATTCGAAATGATGTATTTACTTTGCTAAATATCAAATACTGATTTTTAGAATCAGCTCTTCTTCATTTTGATTTCATTTTTTGCCTGGCAACAACTGGTTTAATTAAACCATATCACCGTGTCTAAACTGTTCTAATTACAACATCAGTAATTAATCAATAGCTAATATTTGATAACCTTTGTTTTCGGCCTTTATAATGCAATCCTGTGTCAACATAGTGCTCAATATCAAACAGAGATTTATTCACTAACATAGTGCTTAATATCAAATAGATATTTCTTCACCAACATAGTGCTCAATATCAAACAGAGATTTATTCACTAACATAGTGCTTAATATCAAATAGATATTTCTTCACCAACATAGTGCTCAATATCAAATAGAGATTTCTTCACCAACATAGTGCTCAATATCAAATAGAGATTTCTTCACCAACATAGTGCTCAATATCAAACAGAGATTCCTTCACCAACATAGTGCTCAATATCAAACAGAGATTTATTCACTAACATAGTGCTCAATATCAAACAGAGATTTCTTCACCAACATAGTGCTCAACATCAAATAGAGATTTCTTCACCAACATAGTGCTCAATATCAAACAGAGATTTCTTCACCAACATAGTGCTCAATATCAAACAGAGATTTATTCACTAACATAGTGCTCAATATCAAATAGAGATTTCTACATTTAGAGAGTGCTCAATATCAAATAGAGATTCCTCATCAAAATAGAGATAAAGATTCATATCTCAGTGCAAATAATGCAAACGCAAAATATAAACAACAATATTTACAGAAAACAGGACAGTTGATACAAAGAAAGAGGAAATAATGATAGCAAATATAAATTGTTTTCGTCGTTTTCTCACACTGTCCTTTATTATTATGTTAGGTAGAAAGGGGTAAACGACCACTGTTAAATACACTCTAATGTTCGAAGTGGTACGTACCAGCCAAATGGCGGACAAAATGCCATCGGAAGACAGCGCTTCGTCAATACATCTATCTCAAAGTTTCATCAAATGTTAAGTTTTGTTGATTGCTTCAACTTCCAAACTAACTTCAGCCATACCTGAAAATAATGATAATAAAAATGTGTAAGTCATTTTTTTTAAAGAAAAGTTTGTACGTGTGTGTAGATTGGGTATTTGATATGAGTTCATTATACTAAGAACAGGTGTATTCAAAAGTGTAAGTAAAATGCCAAGAAATTTGCAGCAAACATATATTTGTACTTATGCAGAATAAGTTACCATGTAGCCGTAAATAAAGGATATACACAAAGACCTTGAGATAATATAGTTTCTGAAAGATTGGCATCCTCTTCAATTGTGCAGCTGTATGCTGTTAAGAATCAGACAGTTCACAATTTTCCATGCTGTCTTACCCTGTGTAAACCTATTTAATTTATCCTTTTTTTAGCCAATGCAACTTGCTGATATGTAGCTATCAGTTTATATCAGAATTAGAGAAGAGTGGTTCTATTTAATAATATATACATTATATAGCGTAGATAACCATATCTATGTTAGATTTACTGCCATTGAAATACACCTTTCTTTTTTTAACAATCTTGTACATGTTTGATAATGGCAAACGAAAATGCTGAACTTAGTCTAAGAAAGATAACTCTTTATAACGTGTAAACAGATCTGGTACAACTATTTTGATGATATGTCAGCCTTGTTTATATGTACATAAACGGTGACATAAATGTACACCTCAACTGCAATGATAAATAGGAAACATTACACATTGTTTTACTTTCCTTTAAATGCTAAAAAACATAACACTACAATTTTGTCAGAAGAAAGTTATTTCTGAACACCTGTTTTAAAATCAACAACACTGTCGTGGTAACAAAGTACTTACATTTCAGCAAATTCTAACTTGGAAATCCTTCACAACATGACCACGTGTAAACACTATGAAAATTTCACTTCCTGTAAAGCTAGTTTTTGGTGCGCAGACACAGATTCGAGACTGCCCAAATAGCAATCTCCAACACAAAGGTAAAATATTATTTTGAAAAAAAAAGAAACCCCACATTGTTCACTTCAACACGACAAGACCAACTTAAGCAATGCTTATTTTTTTATTATTATTTTGATTAAAACTTTTATAATAGGATAATCTAATGAACAAAATTATCGCCCATGGTCACGCCGAGAAACTGTGTACAGCTACGTAAATAACTTAAAACATAACATGTTGATATCATGATTATCCTAATAATCATATGAAGGGATCTTACCAGCATAATACTGATCTCACACCATTTTTATTACAAAACAGACTTATTTAAAGAAGTAATTTTTACAGCGATTACTTTTATGAGTTCGATATGGCAAGAAGACAAGATAAAAAAAAAATGGTGGAGTCTTTTCTTATCAGCAGATATAGTCCTTATGTTGACTAACCCTATACAGAGAACCTACCAACCAGGATCAGATGAAGAGGTTAGATAAGCTCGGTCAAGCACTATGTGTTCTGCTTGTAAGTAATATTTTATAAAATTTTCATTCCAATAAAGATACATCAGCACTTTTGTGTTAAGAATTAAATAAAAACTACACAGTTCTTTACACGATAATTGATTTTCGCCGTGACTTCAACAACGAACTAAAAACATCAGGGCTAAATTATCAACGGTATGTTGAAATTGTTATTACTTATCCGGCGTATTATAAAACGGAACATCACCTATTCAACTACACATTCACTTCTATCATCTCCCTCGGAACTTTCAGTTAAGCTGTCGTGCGTATCTTCATTCTAGCCTTATTTCACTTGTGTTTTACAGGTTTATCAACTTTACGTTTACGGAGCAAGCGGTAAGTTGTGAGATAAGCTGTGACAAAAAGAAATAATAATAATAATAATACATTCACGTATTGACAACAGTTTTCATGTAACAAACATTATGAAAAAGCCCAACAGATATTTTACAACCTACAGGAATACATTGAATCCAAATTTTGAAGTACTTTATACATGGTTTTAGTATTTCAAACTGTTCCGTTAAAAATGAATGTTGATTTTATACAGTTTATAGACCAACTTCAGATTACTTTGATAATACACCATTGTATTAACAGCTCTGGCAACTGTAAGACTGGTTGGAAGTCTACAAGGATGGAAGTGGGATGGTAGGGTCGAGGTATTACATAACGGCATCTGGGGCACCATCTGCTCTGACGGGTTTGACACCCAAGATGCTTCTGTGGTCTGTCGTATGATCGGGTCTCCGGCGAGGTAATGTATCCTGCTGTTTTACAGGTACTCTTTTTATTGTGAAAACATTTATTAAAGCTCTTTAATCTATCAATGTCATTTTCTTTTGGAATATGTGCTATGACTTGTAAAACATTTAATTTTCTTTTTGTAGAAACATGCTAGATTCCCACACGTGTGTAATCTATATAATGCGCGACAGATTATCGTTGAACCAGATTTTGATTTCAGTATCAGAATATATTGCTATCAGCCGCTTATCTAGATCTTTTCCTGAACGAAACCATTCTGGACAGCTCTCAACAAAGCTGTATGATAAGAATGATGATTTCAATATTTTTCCCTATTGTGAATTTTTCATTGCTAGATAGCAACATGCCTACACCCCAACCTTTGGTGTTTACATATCGCATTTGACTTGATATTCGAGGACTTTTTCTCATTATCGCGATTTTCGTGCAAGAAGACGTCAACTGACGGACAAACCCGTAACATAGGGGTTTCACGAGTAGCAGGTTTATGAAAATTATCGTCATAATGATCTCATTGAGAAATATTCTATTTCTTTCTGTGATATGAAGCTGGTTATGTTTGATACTCGTTAGTTTACCTGTTGGTTCTGATAATATTATAGAAGTTGGATTGACTAGGGTTTACATGGCGGGTTTCGTCGATCGAGCAGAAAGCACTTACCATTCCGGAACACCTTGTCTTATTATCCTTGTACTTTTTCAGGGGTCATTGTGTAAATCTTTGTTGTGTTGTGCTCATATTTCGCAATAGTTTTAATTGAATTTGAGTTTGAATTATGATTATGTTAACATGTTGGTATACTAGTTATATATATCAAACACAGTTTTTAAGTTACGTGTAATTTTTTTTTCACTTTGAAAAAGATAAATCCTAGCTTTGGGTTGCCATTTTATGGCATGTTCTATAGCATATGTGTTCATAATAACTATCATTGATAAGCAACATACTATCATGGACCTGACAAAATGACAATAATTTTCCAATAATTTCTTCTCTCTCTCTCTCTCTCTCTCTCTCTCTCTCTCTCTCTCTCTCTCTCTCTCTCTCTCTCTCTCTCTCTCTCTCTCTCTCTCTCTCTCTCTCTCTCTCTCTCTCTCTCTCTCTCTCTCTCTGTTTCCATTTCACATTTCAATACTGGTAAATGTTCTGTAAATAAATAATTATTGCCTGTGGCTCTAAAGTATCTTCAACCTCCCGAATAAAATAAAATTTGTCTAACTTTTTTCAATATTAGATTATCACGCTGTTTGTCCAACGAACAATTATCCGTTAACATTCTGGTAATTCTGTCTGAATCACTCACTGACCAGGACTGTCCATTTAGAACGTCACTACAGTCCAGGTACTGGTCAGATATGGATGGACGAACTTGGCTGTCACGGGTCTGAGACGAACTTGGCCTCCTGCAGATTTAACGGATGGGGTGTACACAACTGCCAGCACAGCCAGGATGTCGCCGTTACCTGTGGTGCGATATTAGCTTTTGATATTTAGTTTCTCATTAAGGAAATGAAATGCTTTCAATGTATTAAATACCCCGATAATGTCATAATAGTTAGAATCGATCTTTTTCAGGTCATATTTGACCAAATGCTGTTTTCATGTGTTTACCGACATAAGATCAAACACGCAAAAAATTAAGACAAAGAAAAACAAAGAAGTTTTGGAGTTTCACTTTGCAAAATTGCCTTTAAACCCCAAAAGAGCTGCTATGTAAAGTATCAACATCTTAAAATAATCACTCAAAGAATGCCAAATCTTAACCAAAGATGTCGGACGGACGGATGGACGGACGTACTCAAAACCTATAGTCCATTCTGTTTACCGGTATGGGAACTAATGAAATCAATGCCATTTGATATTCAAATAAGAAATCCTAGTTGATAGCTGACCACTGTAGGAAAATCATGTAATGATATTTGGACAGCGAAACCTTTATTGCGCGAATCACATTCGTATGCACGTCTAGGCCATTGATCACGTTTTCCTTTATGCGATTTTAGACCCTCCAATTAGACTGTCACTTGGCGGATATGAGGGACGATTAGAAGTGTTCCATCAAGGTACATGGGGAACAGTCTGTGATGACGGATTTGGATCGATTAATGCTATTGTGGTATGCCGTTCTCTAGGATACAACACATTGTGAGTTCATGATATATTGAATAAGTGCAGAAATACAGACTAATGATTTTTAATATTGACCAAGTCAAATTATGTTGTAAATTATATGCAAGTCTTACACAGATTCATTATGAGATTTATCCAACAATATGTGTGGTACCATTCCCTATCAGAATTACTTAGCAGCGGTTATACTTGAAAAAACACTCTGCCGCTATCTTTGTTCACCATCCAATGTTTTAAATGTTTAAAATGATACTTTGTTTCGTGTGGTGATGAATGGAGATGAAGAAGTCCAAACGCTGTTCAGGTGTTTATTGCGATGTAAGTACATTAGCTTACAGGTAAACATGGATTGAAGTATACATGACTTGTCCACGAGGTCTTGCACACATAAATGGCAATAGATACACTGAGTCTTGAAAGGCGGGTAGTTCAGCAATTCTTCATTTAAAATCTGATTGTATTGTTCCGTTCATTCCTGTTTTTAACAAGTGTATTGTCTTCAATAACATTGGCCTCGCTGTCATTATTATGTCTTTGCTTATTAGTTTACCAAAGTTGTAAGCGTCCTCCTACACCATTAGCCATTGATACCGTTCATACATACCAATAACTGAAAGTAGTTTTTCATATGGTAATCCTTCAGACATCCCATAATAAAATCCAGTGCTGGTTATGGGGAGGGATCTGGGACTATCTGGATGGACGATGTAAGCTGTACTGGTACAGAGGATGACCTTCAGAACTGTGTATTCAATGGATGGGGGGTGAACAACTGTGCACATGGCGAAGATGTCGGTGTTAATTGTAGTAAGTATTATAATAAAGACAACACTAACAAGGTAGATGTTAAAGTTTTACCATACGTATTCTGGTAGACTTTTTATATGATAGCTCACTGGTTGATTGATTTCGTATAATTTATTCAAAACACTTATAGTATTTGATTAACCAAAAAACAATGTACACATGTTTTATAGATTTATTTCAAATGTCCACTTTTCGTAAATAAACACGAAACAAAAGTGATACAAATATCCTCTTACCCTTTTGGTAATGCCATCATTGTGTAAAAGTGTGTTCCTTTATCTTGTCTATAGATTTTTTTTCGCAGGTATTTTGTTTTTAATAATATTTTTGTCATTGAATCCATTTAGAACAAATTGGGCGCTATTAAATTTTGAATCGACGTCTTTCATCACTAAATAAATTTAAGTTCCCTTTTTCTTGCAAACGCGCGCAAAAATAATTCGATAACATAAATTACATATTTATTTTCCCTAGATGTCAACGCAATAAGATTGGTAAATGGTTCCGATATACAGGAAGGACGTCTTGAAGTTTTCAGAGGTACATGGGGCACCGTTTGTGATGATTACTTCAGTGACAAAGATGCTGAAGTTGTATGCAGAATACTCGGTTACCAAAACATGTACATATTTCATTTAGATTTTGTAACCAAGAATAATTCATGCAAGACTCAATAAGATTTGTTTCAAATACTGCTATTATGACGATAAAAATATCTAAAATTTCAACATTTAAATTCTAAATATTAAAATCCTAACAATAATCTAATTGTTTTAACACCCAGGAGGTTTGTTGGTACATATTCAGGAACATATAATATAGAATATTCAATATTATGTTCCAGAATTCCTACGGCAATAAGCATAGCTAGATATGGCGAAGGGTCAGGAACTATATGGATGGACGACGTTAAATGCACAGGAACTGAGACGGACATAGGAAGTTGTCCATTTAATTCATGGGGACATCATAACTGTCAGCATTCAGAGGATGCATCCGTGAAATGTGGTAAAAAAAATTCAAAATCTTGGAATTCATCTTTTTGTACGATTGATTACGGGTGAAACATGGTGACTAAATTTGGTCAAAATATCTTCATTCTAACAAGAGAGAAAGTTTAAAAAAAAAAAAAAAAAAAACGCATTTCCTACCAAGCCCCTCCCGCTACATAAATGTATGCTCCAAACCCGCTGTTAATACAAAAAATTGTGCTCCTTATATTAGGGATTCTTCTAGACAATTACGATAACCACTACACTATCAATATACAATTCGATACCTCAATTATATCGATATTGTCATATTGATATGCTATTTATGGAAATAGGGTGACCTGAATTATACGGGCATTGTTCTGATCACCTTTTTCATAACCTTATAATGAAGAGTGTGAAGTGAGATAACATGAGGCTGTAGAAAGTGTGAATATATCAGGGCATGGGGATTATATTTTCTTGTCCTGTGTCGTCATATGTCGACTTTATGCTTACTAAGACACTTTCCACATCACCGTTTTGCTACAATGCATGAAAACGAGATAATCATTGCGTTAAAAGTCGGCAATACGTTAATAAGGGATAATTATCATGTAAAAACGAAATGACTAAAACGTTTAACTCGATAATTACCGCGTTAGTACGAGATGCAAAGCCTCTAACTCGTTTTAACGAAATAGCTGACTCGAGTTAACGAAATAGTTATCGCATTTAACAAAAATAATTTTGTTTTGTTTTACAAAGTGATCCTGGTAGGCTTTTGTATAATTGTGTACTTTTGTTGAATAAATATTTCAATGCATATCACGTGTCTGTTACCTTATCCAACGGGTTCTATCAGTTCCCATCAAACAGATTTGTGCTTAAACACAGTATTTGTCTTTTAATCAGAAATAAGATATGATACCCGTATTAGATTGGTGGGAGGTCGTCATCCGTATGAGGGGCGTTTGGAAATACATACCAATGGTGGATGGGGAACTGTTTGTGGTCGGAATTTCGATATCTATGACGCAGAAACATTGTGTCATTGTCTTGGCTATCCAATATCGTAAGTTGTTCAATTGTATTTCCATCAACAAGTAGTTAAAAATATTTGGGAAACTTAGACTTAAATTTAAGTTTAGAAATATGACACAAATCTTGATAGATGTCAGCTCTCAAGAGTTTTCTTCCTGCCTCAATCATAACTTGATCAGCCAAGATGGTTTGGCATTCATGAAAACACCAATTTCTCGTAAAATGATTTGGCCATATGTGATAGAAATAAAATGTTCATCCACGTATGGTTATGTACTTGATTCTCCCTCAACCTTGCCGTGTCCGCTTTTTTTAATAATTCATTTTCTTATTTCTTTGTGGTGTAGGTTTCCAAGAATATTTACAACTCAACAGTTCAGTCGGGGTACAGGTCATATACTCATGACTCATGAGAGTTGTACCTCGGTAAACTGTGGGCCCTCATGCTGGAGTACAGCCTCTCACTGTACTCACGACGACGACATTGAGTTGTCCTGTGGTGAGTATTCATCTTGATAGCTCCCCGACGAGGCACATGTCGCGGCGACTGTCGTCAAACGTATACTCAGTGCTTTACAATAAACAAGCTGGTTAGTCAAAACTTGATAATTTTACAGTTACAAATTGTTGAAACAGTCATATTGTTGTCGAATGTCCATGGTTTTATGTTGTACCAATTAAATTTTTCACTTATCAATTCTTAACTCTAACCAAACTTTGATCAACTGGAGCCTAAAATTTGGCCAATAGCATACTGGATTGATGGGTTTGAAAGGTCTTTAAATAAATAATATTAAACCTATTCCAAGCTCATGGGAGCAACATGTGATAAAATTTTCAAACATCTTTTGCATGAAAAATACCTCGGGTCATGATAATGGGCATGTTGATGTAGAAATAAAACATTTTCGAGTTTGTTCAGATTAATGCCTTTGGCTTACTTTTAAGGTCACAAGGTTCAAATAATCAAAATCGTGATAGTAGGCTTGCTGCACACTGGGATGTAGGGCCATTATCAATGTTCACAAGGGTAAAATAGTACCGAAAATATCTAGATAACCAAACGATCCGCGAATGACATTAACCTATTTTGAAGGTCAAATTTGTTACAATTTTCAAATGATATCTTAGGAATATGTATTTGCTGAGTTAAGAGTAATTAAAGTTACAAAATTCAGACGATCTATCTAATAATCTACGGAAGCGTATTCCGGCTACGTTGTGTTTTATTTTAACTCGAAATTTCGATAGAGTAACTCAAAATTTCAAGTTAGTAATCCGAAATTTTGACTTTGGTATCGGAAATTTTGAGTTAGTAAGTCGAAATTTCGAGAAATTTGTTATAACTCAAAATTTCGGAGATCGAAATTTCGCGTTGCTATCTCGAAATTTCGGGCTAATATCTAAAAAATTCTGATTACTTTCTCGAAATTTCGAGTTGCTAACTCAAAATTTCGAGTTGCTATCTAGAAATTTCGAGATGAAATAAAACACAACGTGGCCGGAATACGCTTTCGTGATAATCGAAGGTTCTGGGGCATATTAAAATACTGACGATAAGGGTCATCATGATTGAAATAAACTCGAAAGTTGTCTGACATCATTAACTTCTAATCAAGTATGAAGTACCAATGAGCCTTATGTTTGTCGTTTGTCAGTATCACGAGAAAAAAAAACTGATTATAGATTTGGAACTCTTTTAGGCTGAACGTATTATATTTTCTCTTCAGTATTTTAACTAGTATTATTAGTTATCATTAACTATTATTTATGTTGATTTTAACTCCTTACAGTGTAGTGATATGGAACTAATCGTTTTATACTAGCCAGAGTGATCTGACGATTGATATAATAAGCTACTTCAGTTGAAAACAAATAGAGCAAAGAATTCAACAACTGATTCAGTGTCATTTTCATAAAAACGGCAATATTTCCCCAGTGACGTTATCGTTAGTATTTTTTTTTTAAAAAAGCATGATGTAATGATCAATTTTGATGTTCATCGGGTATATACATTTTCAAATGTGTACAGAAGCCCTAATTCAAGTAGACTGCATCGATTTGACTCTTTAACAGAAATGCTGTCGGTGCCGTGTTGTATGTCTTGTTCTCCTTTAAGAACATGACATTACTTACTTGGATTGACCAAGATTTACATGGCATCGGTGAAGCAGAAGACACTTACTCTTCCGGAACGCTTTGTCTTATTTTCCTTGTACTTTTTCAGGAGTCTCCATGCCAAACCCTTTCTTCAAATTTTGACCTATTTTTTTTTTATTGAATTTAAGTTTGAATAATGATTATGTTGACATGTTGGTATATATTTTTTTTTTTTTGTAAGATAATTAAATCTGTTTTGTCTTTAGGTCCTCACCCGATTCAATTATTAGGAGGAAAAGGCCCATGGGAAGGGATAGTGAATATCTTCGTCAATCAGCAATGGATATCTGTATGCGAGTCGAGTTTAAATCTAGATGACGCAACGAGAATCTGTAACGCTATCGGATATAGAAGGTCTTCACCACAATTTATTATTATCATTTGTGCATCCTCCATCTTGTTCTTAATTCATAGACATAATGATGACATACATGAAAAATACAGCATGGCATTATTAATATAAAAATGGGGTAAACAAATACAAGAATTGTTTGTTAGAAATTTGTAAAAGTATAAATACCACTGATAAAAACCATGAAGTAGGGGTTGATAAACTCCGCCACTAAACCAAGATATGAAACATCGTAAGCTTACCCACACAGATTTCCAATCGAATATTATCATTTATCACAAAATCAAATAGTTTGATAAAACCTTTACCCATAGCTGAGAAGTTCTACCATGAGTATTATAGACATTAATGATTTAATTTAACGCTGTAATTAAAACATTCATTTGATACTCAACAGGGGTGGGATCCCAACTTCCTCCTCACATTATCATTATGTCACACAAAATAAGTGGCTCGACAGCACTGACTGTATCAAGGCTAACGGGGATGTATCTTCGTGTTCGGTTAGCAGCCATTACGCCAGTGCGTGCCAACCAACAGCTGCGTCAAGCGTGAGATGTTGTACGTTTTGTTTCGGTTAATTTTAAATTTACTCTTACTGTTAATTGTAAACAGACACATTGTAGTGAACTTATCGCACAGGAAACATGGTAGTCTGGTGAAAACTGACTTGTGTAGTTTCGCGAAAAAAAACAGTTAAAAGTGAATATATCAACCATATTAAAAACGTAACATTCTAGCATTTCTCAAATGAAAATCGTGTTAAGCATATAGAAATAATGTCTTAATATATGTATGTATCTTCAGTGATGGATTCCGTACCTGTGCGTCTGGTTGGAGGGGCACATCCAATGGAGGGACGGGTGGAAATCCGTTACAACAATAAGTGGCTTTCTGTGTGTGACCATACATGGGCTGACCAGGATGCCACGGCCGTGTGTAACCTTCTGTCAACCTACCCTCTTAGTCGGTAAATATGAAACATTAAAGCAAAGTTTTTTTTATTCATCATACATTTAGTGGAAATACATCTTTGATTAAATTCAATCTGACTGATGGAATTCATTTTTTTTAAATAGTAATAATTTGTAATTCATTTAGAAGGAAAATGACGTGATTTTGCAAAATAAAATAAAACCAAAAACACACAAACACACACACACAAAACAAAACAAAACAAAAACAAAAACAAAAAAATCAAGCTAAAAAACCCCACAAAAACCTAAAAACAAACAAACACACACGCACAGAAAAAAGAAACGAGCCAAGTAAACAGTTCTTGTTTTACCATTCCAGGCAAGTGAAGGGAATTGCACAACGGCACAGTCTTTATGGTCACGGGACGGGTCAACTTGTTACCGCACATTTTCCATGCAATGCGGATGGATATAATACCGACGACTGTTTTAAACAATGGCAATTCGACGCTGACTGTGATCACAGAAATAATGCAGGTGTTTCGTGTAAAGGTAAGATGTAAAAACAACTCTGCAATTACACCTATCGATTTACACCGACATGGCCTTTCAGCAAGTGTCGTATGTACATTTTAAAATCTGTTTGCAATTGGAATGTTTTGTTATCGTAAAAACCGACCAGAAGTATTCATAATTTCATGTTCCACCATCTTGTCTTTCGGAGTAAGTAATTAAATTTCATAATAGTTAAATGTGTCTTTTATTGCTATCCGTTATTTTCTTGGGTTGTTTTTCATTTCTTTTCATTTAGCACATATGCATATGACACTTGGAAGCCACCGACCCGCGTCTGGTTTTGGTCCCGAAGGAACACTGCAAATGCAATTTGAAAACAATAACTTCACAATATGTGACAGTGGTTTTGACACATATGATGCGTCAGCAGTGTGCAGGAATCTTGGATACTGGTAATAGCTGTTTGATACCTTAATCTGTATCACTGAACATTCATTGTATCCAAGGAATTAGCAGACATTTTAATCCAAGCTTGCTTGGAAACGTTTACAGGCATTACAGTGTCATTATTTCAATGTCGGCACAACGCGACTAATAGATACATTTACTCGCTTCCGAATGACTGAATAACCTGGAAATGGGCACATTTATTATTTATTAATGTTACGATTTACATACATTGAGTTTTGGAAGAAAACACACAACATATCAACAAATGAATAACTATGACAAACCCTACCTTGTTTTTCTTCGGTACTGGCATAAATTCCAGTGTAATAAGCTTTACTATTTCCAGTTATTTCCTTCAGAAAAAAGATTTCATTAGTCACATCTAGACAATTTACGACAGGTCACCACCTTGCACAGACTTTACTAGTTAAGCATTAACACAATCAAGATTGAGAAAATATAAACAAATAATAGCCATGTGTTAAATAGCATTTTCAAGCTCTTCAGTGACGAAGTAAAATCGCTTGTGTCCAGAGCATGTTCATGTTTCGGGATATATGCAATAACTGCAGGGAGCTTCCTGTCATTTCAGTTTAATTACATTTTTAAAAATGTATTTTTCGATAGCTGCGAAGTACTAATCAACATCACGTAACTTCAAAGTCCTCAGGTTAGTGCACTCTTTTTGGGTCATGCATATATGTAATATAATATACAAGCGAGTTTCACTTCGGGAGGTCAATGTTGAAATGAAAACCGGTTTGACGGATTGCAAGCCTTTTTATACCCTGGGATGCCCGTACTCATTTCCAAACAAGGCATGGACTGAAATGTTGACTGCTTCCTTAGAAACGATGACCAAAATATATCGTTATCATATGGTGCATCTGCCAAGCATTTGGGAAACAGAAACTTTTTTAAATCTGAAAATGAATTCTTTTTAACTTTAATTAGTATTAGCAGGCATTGTACTGAATAACAGGGTTGAAAGTGTTCAATTCTCTAAAGCAACTTGTTTTCTTATCCTACTAGATCGCAACACCTTGACCTGCATATTTGACAGGAACACATCACCTTGACATTCTTATTTGACAGGAACACATCATCTTGACATTCTCATTTGACTGGAACACATCACCTTGACTTTATTTATTTGACAGGTGCACACCACCTTGACATTCTTATTTGACAGGAACACATCATCTTGACATTCTCATTTGACTGGAACACATCACCTTGACATTCTCATTTGACAGGAACACATCACCTTGACATTCTTATTTGACAGGAACACATCATCTTGACATTCTTATTTGACTGGAACACATCACCTTAATATTTTTTATTTGACATGGGTACATCACTTTGACTTTCTTATTTGACAGGAGCACATCACCGACAACATTTTACGATGCCTGGTTCGGTGAAGGGACAGGAACAGCACTTAGGTTAAACCCCTTGTGCTCTGGAAACGAGGCAAATATCGCATTCTGTCAAGATACGAATCTGTGGGCATCTCAGACTTGTAGCCATGTCAATGATGTTGGAATTAACTGTGCCCCTGCTGCATTAGGTGTGTGTAACTAGTGCATGCCTATTTTCAAGTGCATTTTATTTACAATCAGCGCATATACAATGGGAATGTTTATGAAATGGGTGAAACATATTCTTCAAGACTAGGCGATCGACAAATACCTGTATATCAAACTTCTTTTACTGAATTACTCATTTTACAGTGGTTGTGACAATTGACATTTTTTTACTTGTTTATTTTAATAGAGAGAGAGAGAGAGAGAGAGAGAGAGAGAGAGAGAGAGAGCAGATCAGGACCTGAAACTCACTTAAGCCACAGCTGCTGAGCACATGGCATATGATGCATATAAAATACTAACAAACAATATCTCATACTTAAAGCATATAAAGCACTTTTTAATTCACTATAGATATTTTGAATTGCTAATTGTGTGAGATGCGTCCAGAAGTAGAATTGAATATTAATCAAGATGCCAGTGTGTAGAGGATATAAATCACAAAGGAAATTATTGAGGAAAACACATTTCATTTGAAAATTACCTCAACAAATGTCCAACTTCTCCTGCCTTAAACATCCATTTTAAAATCAATTTGTTCAAAGACATTCATCTTTTACAAACATATTCAGTTGTAGAATAAGTACACTTTTTATCTATATTATACCAACTATATCGGTTGAGTTTGATTTTCCTAACTCATCTTTCAGGTTTCCACGCTTTAAGCCCCTAGCATCACTGACGAGTCATAAAAAAGATGACAAAGGCTTACAACTTATCTATCAATTTGTTAAATTTGTTTCGAGTGCTATTCTCTTGATGTCTCTTGTAAAGTCTTTTTGGTGGGCTTTTGATCCAATATCAAAATATCTGTAGGGCGAAACCGTGTCCGTCTGGTAAACGGAGAGAATCCCGGGACTGGACGATTGGAGGTGTTTTATAATGGGCACTGGGGTGCTTTTTGTTGGGAACATTGGGACCAGAGTAATGCAGCGCCTGTATGTAAAACTCTCCGATACAGGTAAACATTTGTCTCAACGCAAGCCGTGTCGGATGTTCCAATTTAACAGATATTTTGATTTCTACAATACAAGTCCACAACAAGATCATCCAACATTTTCATACAATATAAAATCGGTAAAAATGTTTTCACAATTTTATGTTTCCTTTCCGACCTCAAATTTTGGTTTTGTCTCGTTTCGTGTAAAAATAACCTGTTTTTGTACTGGTCTTCTTCCTTAGTACGGTTAATCCAAAGGGATTCCAAATACAAAGAAATCAGACTTCTATGACGGTCGGACAACTCCATTGTCATGGTTACGAAAGTGACATTGGGATGTGCTCCGCGGATTTGGATAAAACAGGATGTGGTGATACTGCTGTGGGAATCGATTGTTCAGGTATGTTAATATGTATTACAAATATCCCATGACATGTGAACACATACTGTATTAAGATAAGTATGATATTCTTTCAGATGGTGTCAACGTTCGTCTTGTTGGAGGACCTTCGGATATCAGTGGACGTGTAGAAATCGCTGACGAGGGATTTGTTGGGGCACTTTCAATACATAGGTCTATCTTCGGACACAATGAAGCAATTGTTCTATGCAGAACTATGGGATACAGGTATAACCTTCATTTCCTCAAGCTTTTGCCTATGCTAGATGTTTATGTCCATTTAGATAGTAAACTGTATATGATTCAGGTAAACCATAACATTGATATTTTCTCAAATGATTGAGATTGCATGAGTTCAAAATGATGTTTAAAGAGACTTCATTTCAATTTGTATATGTCGGACTGATGTTGATTCATGACTGTGTTGAATTGATTTGACAGAGATACAACTCCACAAATTCTTCATGATACACATGGACGTACCGATGGTTACAATGCTGTGCTGGGAGAACTAAAATGCGGCGGTTGGGAGGACCACATCAAACAGTGTTCGTTCACACAGACTAGGGGTATATCCCCTGATGTAGCCTTTGTCAGTTGTTTTAGTAAGTATGGGATGTTCACTTTTTAAATATATACGCACACACACATATATATATAGCTTAAAGAATGCACTAAAGAGCACATTTCTATACAAGTTAGATACAGCATATCTAAACATTGAACGAAAGATATATAATGCCCTCGATTCAAGTTTCCGCAAGTTTACATGTCATAGTTGATTCTATGATAAAGGGATTGTTCCCGGTATCACGTTTTTCAGGCAAGATGTTGGCAGATGAAATGTAACTTCACAGCACAGGGATTCAAGAGCCTAAGGTGGATGAAAATTATAGAGGAGTTTTACGAACGTCATGATGATCTCATTGGAAAATATTTTATTTCTTTTTGCGATATGAAGCTGAAAGTTTTTCATGCTTTTTAGTTTACCTCTTGATGGTTCTGTTGTTGTTTACATTGTTCTTCCCGAGAATGTGACATAACTTACTTGGATATACCAGATTTACATGGCTTGCTCATCCATTAAGCAGACTACGCTTACCCTTACGGTACACCCGGTCGTATTATCCCTGCACTCTTTTCAGGAGCATGTAATGAACAGGTTAAAAAAAAAGATATAGTTTAATTATATGCTCTTAATCTTTAAATTTATCTGTCACGAAAATTGGAAAGATATTTATGGTGACAAAAAGTAAAACTATTTTATGATGTTTACTTTTCTTATTCAGATTGCTCAAGTGTATCGATAGAACCCTCTGGTGAAATGTCTAGTCCAAACTATCCTAGTGCCTATACTGACAATGCAGATTGTCTCTATATCATTAAGCCACAAGATGACACCCGTTTGTACCAGTTACAGATCGAAGATCTGTCGATGGCTGATTCAGGAGACTACATCGAGGTGGTCTTTATTATGTGTTTTCGTGTTTTAATATTTAAGAATTTGATTTGGATGAGTATTTGTAATGTTCTTTTATTATAAATGAGAAAATGCATCGATGCTACACGGGATCTATGTATATCTATTATTTCATTGTACCATGTTTGAGACATTGTGTACTGTTGTGGATGCTATTCAATGTTCAAATTTTCACTCTTTAATAAAATCAGGAAGTTAATAGGGTGTATTTCTCTCTTGAGTCATGCAACTTCTCGACGATATCTAAAACATGATTTGAAAAATATAACTTGTACTTTGCCTTTTTCTGAGAATGTTCTATATACTTTATTTCTTGATCTAGTCATATTCGATTTTCCCGCCAGTAAATAGGGCTTGGACTTAATACGTTATTCTAAATCAACAGATCAGAGAAAGTCCAAACGGACAAATTCTTGGAAATTATTCAACTTCTGGACATCTACCAATACTAGCAGGAAAAGCATTCTGGATACGGTTTAGGACAAACTCCTATGGTCATTCCACTGGGTTCCGCATAACCTGGAGAGGTAGGTGTTTCTGTGTTATCTTATTTGCTGTATAACTAGTTTCACTTGTAAATCACATGGACCGTGATGACAACCGTTAAACCCATACAATAAGTAGCCCAATATACTGTAAAGTGACAAAATTATTTCTTTTATATGTTTAATTTGCTTTTGAAATTGCTTTGGTCTTTATTGTAATAGTAAATGTAAATGATATACTGTATACTATTTGATTGATCACACTTGACATTAAACCAATCTTCTTAATGTAACGAAGTCCATTGTGTAACTACTCGCTATATAAAGATAATAATATAATTTCTGTAAAACCGCGTGTAAACTTGAAAATATATTTTTGTTATGACACTTGGTAAATTGTATGATTATTCGCTGAAGAGTCACGTGTTAGATTGTTTAATTATTCGCTGTAGAGTCACGTGTTATATTGTATAATCATTCGCTGTAGAGTCACGTGTTACGTTTTATAATTATTCGCTGTAGAGTCACGTGTTACATTTGATGATTATTCGCTGTAGAGTCACGTGTTACGTTTTATAATTATTCGCTGTAGAGTCACGTGTTACATTGTATAATTATTCGCTGTAGAGTCACGTGTTACATTTGATGATTATTCGCTGTAGAGTCACGTGTTACAATGTAGATTAAATTCGTTGCTCTGGTGACCTTCGTATATTGTATATGTGTACGCTATGGTGTCATATGTTTTTTGTGTACCATTACATGTGATGACAACAGAGCTGACGTTTAATGACACTATGACTACTTCCTGTATTGGGAATGATTGGACCGTACATGTGAACATCACACTGGCTTTACTGCTTCGCCCTAACATCACAGTTTCTAGCATCATTCTAACGGAAGCCAATACGTGCAAAGGTCACGTGATCAGTGATGAAGTGGTCTTCTCCAAGGCATACCCAGGCTGTAATACAAGCAACGTAAGCAATGCTTTACTTCAAACTTTAAATGAACCATCATTAGTTTTCCAATATCCTGAACCAGATTTTGAATTTGGTATTTGGTAAATACGGAAAGAGGTCAATAATAAGCGTCCGTGCGTTTTTATCATGAGCAGATGCGATGTTGTGTGATTTCATACTAATAACCCAGTAGCTTTTAATTTTTGAACTTTGTTTTTCACAGACTATTCACATGGAAATTGTTCATAAGATCATGAATTACATGTTAATAGTACCTTAGTTAAAGAATTTCGATTCGGGTTACTGTTAAGATTGATATTTTCGCGCCTTTCCATAAGATTAAAGCAAAAAAGAATTATCAAAAAGATCCTATTGCACAGTTTGACTTTCCTTACATTTTTTAATCAATTCTTTTAATCCTTCCTCGATGATAGTAAAAAGCCCGTTGAAAATAACTTGCTTTTTAGTATTGCTTGCCTTAAAGTTAACATAAATAACGTTTATAAGATAAATCATAAGAAATTATTCGGATATATTTTAGATGAAATCGTCTTTTAAATATTCCTTTCCGTACCTCATAACCGTTAGATTTATTTTCAGATCGACACATGTTCTAACGTTAACAACTGACTTGTCTACAAGAACAACGGTATCACGACACTGATGAGTACGTCAGTAAGTGATTAAAAGTAAAACAAAAACGTGTATTGTTTACAAATATACAAATTTGCTATTACTACGATTTGAAAAGTAAGTAAAATGCTTTGATGAATTTAAACATCGCTATAATAAACAAATAAAGATCTACAGCTGATTGAATTCATTGAAAAGATTTAATTATTTTAGTAATAGAATGCTAAATGGTTATAACAGATAAGACAATTCGTATACAGATTTCAAAATATGGATAACTCCAGAAGTTATGAGAGTCATGTGTTTGCAATATAATTTCGAGTTCGATTCCAATCAAAGTTTCTCTTCAATTACATATGTATTTCTCATACAAAATACATTTAATTAATATCAATCATGTTTTACTTACGTAAATAATATAATATCGAAGCATCCTAGTCGTTAACAAAACGAAGAAACGCTACAACCAGTCATAAATCACATGTTTGTGACAGGATCGATTGCCAAAAATATCGTTCAGTGGCATTAACACCGACACAATTTCGGACAAACAGTGTTAACACTGATCAAGAATTGATGATATTAGAAATGTTGATGTTTAAGAGAGTGCATCCTATATGTTAAAGAAGCTGCACTTATATACGAACGTTATAAGTGCTCCTTGATTTCAAAACGGTACCACACTTAACAACTTAAAACTTCGAATTAATATCAAAGATCAGAACGATATCCAAGGTAACACTTTATAAGATTTCTTAACAGAAAGCTTTCGAAAAAAGACTCACCTATGTAAAGCAATTTTAATCAGATACTCTTACTACCGATGAAGGGAAGGTGTGAACGACACACTTACTATAGTATTGAACAAAGTAGTGATACTATTGTATTGAAGTATTCAAATAATCGAGTCAAGTATACAACGACCTCTGTGATTGGTCGGGGGCGGAGTTTAGACAACCTGAATAGTTGATCTGACACCCAATTTGTTCCGGTAGGCGGAGTTAATGTACACTATCAGTTACATAACAATTACTAAGTAATCGCTGGAAAAATGTCCAACGACGGCAACAGTACGCAAAATTTTCTTCGACGAAATTATGTCCGATACGAACGATATGGGGAATCCTGTTTTTGTACAAGGCGATGTGGTTGTGATGGACAATTGTGGATTCCATCACCATAGACAGGGAGAGCGCATTTTAAGAAATATGCTGAAAGAATATGGCGTGTCCCTGGTTTTTCAGCCGCCTTATTCCCCGGAATACAACGTAACTGAATATGTATTCAATGTCATGAGACAGAGGCTTCGGGCAAATACCCGACTTGTGTCAGAATTTCTGGAACTTGCAGTAGTAAATGCTCTAGATATTCCGTCCAACCAACTTCAAAGTTTTTTTCACATGTTGCGGATATGTATAATTTTCGATGGAAAGATAAAAAATAAAAAAAAAAATATATGGGACCACAGAATTCCCCCCCCCCCCCCACTTTCAAAAAAAATAAATAAAACTAGTACAGAATGACTATATGACTATATTCACTGTTAAGATGTTATGAATTCTCCGGTCCCAGTGCTCTAACCTGTTGATATATATTTTGTACGTAAATTAGTTTAGTACTGAGTAACTTTCGTTTTCTCGTTGTACCATCGATGGAAAAGCAAGGTTTCATTGGGTGTAGAACGAAACAAATGGGACAACCCAATTAGGTCTGATCGATCTGAAGCCACCTGTGACTTGGACTCTTCCAATTAACCTCTCGCGACAGTCGAGTGTTTGTAAAATGCCGATGTCTGCACAGTATTTTTTCACCTGGCTCCACCCACAATCGATCTAGACTTGGCTCTGCCAATCAGAGAGCTTGTTGCATAAATTTAAGGAATTCGATTGGTGAAGTACTTCAGTACAATACTATCAATACTTTGTTCAATACTACAGTACTTGAAACGTTCACACCTTCCCTTCATCGGTAGTAATACCAATGAAAAGGGTGCTTGGATTGCACAATTCCGAATGGACGAAATAGATGTTACAATACAGATGTAGAGGTACAGTAATACCTTAGCGTAATACATTTCGATATAGAATGATTTCAAGATATAAAGTAGATATTAGATTCTGAATCGTGTCACAATCCATATGAATTCAACAGACAGCCTAATCATGCTGGCTAGGAAAGCTACAGACTTCAAAGACGTATGAACAAAAGAAAGATATACATGGAGACACCCGAAAAAGAACAAGAATAATAAGACCATGTGTTCTAGAAGAGTAAGCGTCTTCTGCTCTATCGACGACTATGACCATGTAAATTTGATCAACGCCACGTTCAGAAACGAAAATAAATAAAATCGATATTGTGAGCTTCTTTGTCAAACTAATCAAATGAGACATGGAATACTGTAAGTTGGGAGTGCAGGGAGGTTGTTATCCATAAATAAAAAATTCACAAGCTACTAAAGATGTACTAAAGATAGGAAACAACGTTAGAGTTAAAATATCATGTGTAAAGTGAAGAATGCAACAGAGGATCACGGATAGCAACTGAAAATGTCAGAAAACCCGGAAAATGGTGGAGACCAGCAAACATTAATAAGGAAATACTTCAGTAATAACACGTAATAAGGAAAAACTCATTTGAACAGTCTTCCGTTTTTTTCCTATGTGAACAATGTGAACATAAAACGCTTGATATAGTATTAGTGGTCTTATTAAAATCACGAGTCTAAATTTATGTTTGACTATAAAAACAAATATGAATAAGAGATCCGTAGCCAAGTTTGACGTTTTGGTTTCAGTTACTGAAACATGTATGTCCGATACTCTTCAAATACTTCAATGATCTATCTCTTTTGTAGATAGTTTCATTGTGTATATATATGTCACAGGGCAGTGAAAACACAAACAGTCGTTCTCCTCCTTATATATTTATTTATACATAACCGGCGGACGCACATGAATAAAACCATAAAAAAACATACAAACGGCCTTATAAGAATACCTATTATCCTGTATGACAATGGACCGGTATGGAATAATTAAACAATTATGATTCCAAATTAATAGTTATTAATTAATGATTAATCAAATGTATAATATAACGTTTAATTACCTTCCAAGACCTGTGCAAGGTCTGGTAAAATGTATCAAAGTCCAGTTGTCTTGTCAATATGGAACCAAGCGGACTCCAGAGGATACGTCCCCCACCCTGGTCTACGGCCGACTGCGACAAGTGCGCGGTTGTAAAATTGTTTTATTTCCTTTACTTTCACACTCGCATGCTTTCCCCACAACTTACAACCTAATTTACATATATCTCAATAACAACACCAAATATGGACAAGACAGGACGTACACGGGACATACACAGGACATGCACACAGGACTATCGTGACATAGGCAAAACACGTGAATACACTAAAAATGGAAACCGGCGTTTTCCCGTTCCACTTCAGATAATGAGTATATATGTACCTGTCACATTACTCCCCTTGTTGGGAAAATGCCGTCCATTTTTATATCCAAAAATCCCGGAATTGAATTAAAACATTTCATTTATAACCAATCTGAAACATAAAATTCTATTATTAATAGTCGTGAAATTCTACCAACCATGAAAAAAAATTGATATTCAATTCTCAGTTTTTTAGAAACGATACATGAGCAATCAAGCAGGAGATCAAATTCCATAACCACTCAGCTCCTGAAATCAAAGTAAACCAGTTATTAATCAAATGCCTGAAATAAACACTATTAGCACCTGAAATGAAATATAGAATCTATTTACAGTAATATTCAATCATCCTCTACAATTTGTTCCATCACAAAATTGTCAAAACGTTGAGGGACCCGTCTGGTCCTGGTGGATCAGCGGTGGTATCAGGCGAACAAGGGGAGGTAACCACCCCAACACCAGTATCTAGATTAAAACTTCTATAGCTACTACCTGAACTCTGTTGGTAACTATCATGACCAGACTCCTCCAACACCATCTCCCTACCATCAGATGAAGCTGATGAACCCAAACTGACTGGATTTGACTCCCCTACTATAGAAATATCTCCAACATCTTAGGTATTCCTAGAAACAAACACTCTAGCTCTGGGATTTAACTGAGTACTTCGAGTAACAGGCCTTGACAAATAGATAGAGTCTGAATCAACGTGACCGTGGGGGGTTCTGACCTCTGACTTTTGGCTGGCCGACCTTGACTTGACATCTGAAACACAAGTCTGAGGGGTCACCCCTGTATAAGGTAAAAGCATATTTCTATGCAGAGTCCTCACTCTGCCATGACCATGTTCTAATCTCACTCTATATACTAGAACATTAGCATGGGGTTTAGATAGAACCTTGTATGGATGTCTTTCCCATTTACCCGCTAATTTTCATTATATATATGTAGGACCGGGTTTCCAATATCTGCACTCTAGCCATGAGTTTAAGACCATCAATTTCAGTAAAAAAAATTGTAAAAAATAATCCTTGTCGTATTCATTGTAGTGTCTCCTTTTGTGTTTGGTGTCATATGTCACCAAGCGGTATGTCGTGTGTCACCAAGAGATACATCCGACTTATAATAACCCGGGTTAAAGTAGGGTACATGTTCATTTTGTATTTAAAAGTGGCGCGTCGAAAATTGACAAATACTGAAAGATGACAAGTTTATGGAATGGTTCAAGGTATTTTGACATATCGGTAAGTAGCTGCACGTCTAATTGTCATTCATCCAGTCATTTCTCGATGTATGCATCGTCTGAAAACAATTCGGGTATGTTGACCAGCGTTCCAGGTCTGGCAGACTTCGAGAGATTACTGGCAGAGAAGATAGACATATCTGTTTAGACAGAAAAGGCAAGTCCCATTCACCACTGCCACCAGGCTCAGGACAGACGAAGGTCAGAAGTTCAAGTTGCCAGCGTACAGTCAACAGACGTTTGAACAATATACAACTTCGCTCTACTACGCCGGCTACTAGAACGTCGCCTGTTGAACGCCAACAAGCAAAGCTGCAATGGGCACGTGGCTACTGGACTTAGAATATTAGTTCTTGGCAAAGAGTCCACTGGTCTGATGAAAGCCGCTTTTTGACTAGTTCGACAGACGACAGAATCCGTGTTTGGAGAGCAAGAAATATGACATACCACCGGAATCATATCCTAGACACAGCAGCATTTGGCTGTGACGTTGTTACTGTTTGGGTATGTTTTTCGCTAAACTGTAAAACTCACTTGCAAGTCCTTGATGGAGTATCAAATAGGCAGACGTACCTTAATCAGGTCCTTCTACTTTTACTTGTTCCACATGTCGATGGCCATTCATTGGAAGTCTGCATATCCCATAGAATGACAATGGCAAACCAAACAGAGCCCGCCTAGTCAATACTTCACCAAGAAGTGATATATACTCTCCTTTGGCCAACAATGTCACCCGACATAAACAAATTCAGCATATGTAAGACCATCTCGTACAAAAAGCAGATGCATGGGATCCAAAACATGTAGAATTACAGGCTGCATTGATTCAGGAGTGTTTCCTTAAAACAAGCTTCAGTATCTTGACAATGGTACGAGACGAATAGAACAAGACGTATACCAGAAGCGAGGTGGCTATGCCTGTTATTGACATTGTCACACCCAACATAACCCGTTGATTAGTTAATCTTCTTGATCAAGCAACATATTTAGGTGATTTGATAGCGTATCTGTTAAAGACAATTAGAACAGACTTTTTTCTAGACTTCGGGAATGCCTCTGAGCACGTCGTTTTTAAAACGATACAGAACTTATCGTTATGTAAATTTCCTATCAGCAGTATATAGTTTCAGTGTTAGTATATGCCTAAAACATTCCTTTGTCATAATCTAAGATAAAGGTGATCCTTAACTTCTGACAAAGTTTATATTATATCACATCACTGAGCTTTAAAGTGGATCTAAAGCCAATTTAAAACAACTTTTCAAAAAGCAACATTAATGCTACTCATTATTCACCTCCAACAGATCCTGTTCTCGAAGGCAAATCAGACCTGTGACATTGAATATAAGTCAAGCTCATTATTTTTTTCTTTTCTGATTTCATCTCAGGTAGGGTTGATTTCATGGCTTTAACAAATTTGACCTCTATGACCTTTAATATGGGTCAAGCATTTTTTAGCTCTTTTATCATCATTCCAACGAATTAACTAGCCAAATATTTTAATTGTATGCCTTATTACTTTGTATATGGGTTAAGTCTTTTTTTTATTTTTATTTTATTTTTAAAACCTCATCCAGGTGCTCAAATACAGGGATTCTTGGGTTTTGGTTCGTTGTTTTGCATCTTATAACAAAATTGACTCCAGTGTCTTTGAATATAGGTCAAGGTTGTCCCTGTTCATACACTTTGCCAGACTTCATCTCTTGAACCTACCAGCCAAATATCAGGATTCTACGCCCCCTGGTTAATCATCTGAAGTTGTTTTGAATGTTTCAACAAATTTGATCATAGTGATCTTTCATACAGGTCGAGGTCATCTCTTTTTTTCACAAAATTTGTTGATCTCAACCTCAAGAGCTCATCTGACAAAAATTTTAAGTTGCTTAATAGAAAGCTTTAACAAATTTGATGCCCACGAACTTGAATATTGGTAAAATTCACTTTTTGCACATATTGCCTGGCTTCATCCCAGAAAGCTACAAGCCAAAAATCATTAATCTTAGCCTCTTGGTAACTGAGAAGATATTTAAAGGAAGAAGATGACACCAGACTGATGCAACACTGTTCCTTAGGCCAGGTTACCAAACAATGCCTAGTATTGTCAATCTGCCATCCAACTGTCTTTTAAGCTATCTTATTGGATCATTAACAAATCCTTCCTTGCATGTCATATTTTCAATCTCCCTTAAATCTACCATCAGACAAGGGCCTTTTGTGGTGCAGGAAATACATTAAAAGTGCCTGCTTGTTCCATTTCTTCAGTGTTTTGTGTTTTAGGTTTAGAATACTCTATTTTGTGTTTGGGATCTAGGTATATCTAGTTTGTTGCAGTTGATTTGAAAAAAAAAGAACCAATTCTCTATTTTTGCTTCTTTTATTCAAGCTTCATTTCAGCTGTCAGGAGATTTAAGTAGGACACAACATCAATAATACAGAAAATAAACAGAGATAAATCATAAAAATCTTTAAAATAAATCACTTATAACTTAAATACAAACTAAAATATATAATTTGTAATCAAAGACATTCTTTCCAATCAATTTAATGTTGGTGGTGAAGAAAATTGGCTTCTGCCAATGTGGATGTTTTATTGGGCATTTTATAGTTACTTGCAGTCAATTTTACCTTTATTTTTTTTTTTTTTTTTTTTTTGCCATGACCAACAAACATTCATCGCAAATTTTCAAATTTGAGAGACAATATGAACAATGCACAATGTATATTTATAAACTAAGCCTAAATCCTATAAATGATTCAGAATTTTCAAACCACTTTTTTAAAGATAATTACCTAAGTGCATTTTGAGACAATCTATTGTAGTGTGGGACTCGTTTGTTCTTATTATATTTCTTACCTTCAGAATTTTACATCTTTGAGACTACTTCATTGTTTATAATGATGTCAATAATATACTTCTACTAAATATAACCTTTATGTTAGTCCTCGTTACCATGTGTCTGTAAATAAAAAGGTGTCCTAGATATAACACAGGTTTGTTGTAGCCAAGGAGATTATATATTCAGTATAATAAGTCTACATTTCAGGAAATTCAAACAAATTCTCATGTACAAATTCAATTTTAAAAATCCTGAAAAGATTATTACAACATCAATTCTTGTTTTGTTTTTTAAGAATTTGAGTGCAGGTGAGAATTTGTGAGCATGATTTTGTTTTTCCTATATTTTACAAAATTTGGGATTAGTGTTATTTACCTTTTAAATACTTTTCATTAAAATATTGAGATAATTATGTATTGTACTTTTTCATTGAAACACTTAATGACCACCAAATTATGTTTTACATTAAATTAAAACACTCTGATATGATTTCATCTGACTGTTTCAAAGTATTTCTATGTGACTCAGGAATTTACATTCAAACATTCTTCCATCCACACGTAAGTTTACAAAATTGGAAACTTTGTCAAGGTTTTGTGAAAAAGAACCATTTTGATTGGTTAAAACTCACCAATCATTACACATTTAACATTTTGTGTTTTGAAGTTTGTAAATGTATTCCAATAACAATTGCATATATATCATGCCCTGCAAATATCTTCTGAAAAGTAAATCATTATTGTATATATTTTTATAAGTATAATATATGACATTTTTATCTATATTGTACAGTACATATCTGTTCAAGAAAGCTGGATAAAAATAGTATATGACTCTCTCTATGGATATAGTAAGTACATATTACCATAACAGTAACAATCAACAGGTTGTATCAGTCAAGCCAATTTTGTCTTCTTACCATCAAAAATGTCTGATATATGAAAAAAAATACCTCAGATTTTTCTATTTCCATATGTGAAAAGTATAATTGAATTTTTTTTTTTTTTAATTTGACAGTTCAGCAATAATACATTGCTTCTGGAAGATTGTTTGATATTGAGCTGACCTTAACACACATAAAAACTATTTTTCATCACAACAATCTAGATTTTAGAAAACAAAAATATGTAAAAATGAGATAATATTAATTATATCAATAATTAATGAATAAATTCTGTCAAAAGTAAACAAAAATTTGATATAATTATAGAAGAGTGGTATATACAAAAATTCACAAACCAACATGAATAATTAAATAAGTGATAGTTCACAACACATAGTTATCTACAAGACTCCTAATGAATTTTACATCTTACAAAAATAGGTGATTTGTTCAGTACACATAACACTCATCCACCACTTTGATACATTCCCCCGTCACTCAGTGGAAATTTCCACTAGTTTTCGATGTGGTAATGTCAATCATGCTAATTCTGTACAAAGATGAGCACAGCAGTAGAAGGTTTATGAAGAGTTTTCGTTACTATTGGAAACAGTGACCAACATTAACTACCATATTTGTCACACTGTAAGCTCATTGGACAAGTACGGAACCTCAGATTCAAAGTATGGGCTTATCATATGAAACAAGTATCTTTTGACATTTTCCTTAAACAACAACAGATAGACAGGAATTTTTTTCCAGGCATATCACTATATAAAATAGGGTACACTCTGAGCGACATTAAACGTTTCATACACGTTAAATTCAAATACACTTATGTTTTCACAACAGGTAAAACAAAGTGTACACTATTGAAATCAATGTTAAAATTGAGATTAAGCTAAATGAGAGAGGTGGTTTTAATTGTGTTCCTAGATTCAAGCATGTGTTAATTTCAACGAAAATGATTTTCTATTCCAACATACTTAACATAAAAAGCAGTAACGACATGCCAGCAAAGCAAAGCATCAAACTAGCATTAAAGGCATTGCTCAGAAATCACTCAGAAATCACTCTGCTGTTAATTGGTTTCTGATCAGCTTTGAATTTAAAGACAAGTTTTGTGTTAAAGATATGGCAAGCTACGCAAAGAATTATCTATATCAAACAATTAATATGTAAAACAAAAGAATATTGCAATATGATTGACTTTCATTTATCTGGACATGATCTAAAACATAGGTTATAATTCCATGGAACACATGACTCGCCCAGCAAGGCTTAGACAACGAAAGGTAAAACCAGAGTCACTTATCAAAGCAATAACAATTCTCATTTCAATTGACCAGCTACTGACCAGCAACTGACCAGCCAAGACATAATGTGTTAGCATCAATCAACATCTTATGAACTGTCACTTGACTAGTAAGGACACTGGAAGTTGTCGTGACTAGCTTGATCAGATATCAGATAGGTTACCACACCTGATTTTTATCATTATACAATGCTTCTGCAATTGAGCAATAATTAACGATTCCCGAAACACTTTACATTTCAGTTCAATATCTAATTCTTATACATTTATAAAGTTTATGATCCACAATTAAGAAGAATAGACAAACGTTCATATAAAGAAAGGTTAAAATATATCTACAGCACACCTGAATTCTCAATGTATAGGGATTTAGCAAAAAGAAGATTGATCAATTTATCTAGCAAACCTACAAACATTACAAACTCTCTCTTACCTAAACAAAATTGTTTGAAGAATGATTCGAATAGTCCATAGGAAAAGCAGTCAAAATATCAAACATAAAGGTGATTTCATAACAATTTTATCATTGATGGCTAAAAAGCAATAAAACAACAAAAGCAGTCAACACATTCCTATCATGGATTATAGCATATTGTTACACTTTATATGAAATTATAGAAAACTTTAAGCGTTGCAAAAAAAAATATGCATTCAGCAGAAGCAGCTATGAGACTTTCTCTAACCAGTAGACTGACAGTGATGTGCTGTCAGCTATGAGACTTTCTCTAACCAGTTGACTGACAGTGATGTGTTGTAAGTCTTTTTTGTTGTTTCATTCTACTATGTATTCTTTGCATTTCTAACCTTCTGAAATGAATTTTCTTGACTTTTTTTATGGATCATTTTAATGGAATTTTGTATCCTTATGAAGAATTGTTTCCTGCTTCAACTCATGTCATTTCCATTGTTTTCCATTGTTTATGACCACGGTAATAATTTATTTACAACATGCAATTTTTTGGAATGTCATTCTGACATCATTTTGGTAAGTGTATATAGGAAAATGGCATCACAAGGAAATTAGCAGTGTAGATAATTTTGTATTACTCCTCAAATAACCAAGGGACAATTAAACGAATATCATGAGAAGGACATATGGATATTATTTTACAACACAGCCAAATATTGTCAAGATCCATCCCTAAACAAAGTGAAGGAAATCATTTTAAAAAATTAATAAATATAATGAATATATCATAGCATAAAAAAAATGTGAGAGACTTATGGTCAGTCACTGTATCAATGATTTTGACAATGAATTCATTTTAAACATGCTTAATCAGAAAAAACACAAGGTAAACTATTTAATGCATATCATAACTATTGATGAATACATTATTTTCCAGTATTCTGATGTCTACTATTGTTATGAGGCAAGGAAAGAAAGGTTGAAAGGAGGGTAAGGGTTGGTTTAGAGGTGTGGATCATTAGGCGGCAAAAAGAGGAAGATTGGAAGGCAAGTTGGAACTGAAACAAATGTATAGTTGTTAATGATACAAAAAGCAAGGAGACAATACATAAACCACTTCCTAGTTTAGCTTATTCCATGGTATTGAATCTTTACATCAAATGTTGCAACAACACCAATATGTAAAAATAAATCATGGCGAAAGTCAACAGTTCAACTTTAGAAAAAGACCACCAGGGTAATATACTGGTTTCGAAAAAAGTTAATTAATTCTGATATCGTGTTGAACTGTAACGAAAGGTATCCCATGACTCAAACCACCGAAATTAGAAGTTCCACAGTAAAAAGCAAAACAAGACAAAAGATCAATTCTTCAGTGTTTTCATGTCAATGTCATTTAGTTACAGTAATTTACTATAAGCATGGATGGACTTTATCTTGGATGGTCATTCTAGTTGCTATTTATTAAAACACTTAGTTTGATGACGTTCTGAAAATTACAAAATAGAGTTGAGTGTCCATTTTTATAAATGTCATTTACCTAAATATTGTGGTCCCAATTCATATAAAGTTGTGAAGCATGCTATTAGATAAAAAATGAGAACTTTAATTGGTCCATGACTTCAATGTCAGTAGAGGAGAACTTATTAAAACAGTTAACATGTAACTTACTACTGATTCCCCACTCTAATGATGAAACTCATCAATGACTTAAGGGGGTAAGCTACCAAAACCATGATTGATATCATGACAGTCTCCCTTTATTGTCACTTTCGAGATCTGTGCCAATCTCAGATTGTTCTAATAGTGATTTCTCTGTAAACTTTAAAATGGTGATATGAGATAAAATCTTTGCGATGGATGATATAAAATCTCTTTAACATATAATCTGTACCAACAATCTTCTACGGTCACTTTAGATGACCGGTAAACCATCTAGTCGAAACATATTTTCAGTCACAAATTTTCATTTTCTGCTTGTTTTGTATAAATGGTTACCGTATTCAAAAATGTTATTTGAAATGCTCTAAATGACCATAAGTTTGAGTTTTATACTAGAGCACAGAAGTATTAAGCTTCCATTTGGTTAGTAATCAACAATATTAGTAAGGGATAAGTTAAGTAGAGAAACAAATCAGTTACCAACATGAGAATGTGGAAGTGGGGCCAACAGAAATCAGTGACAATAATCTCTTCCGATAAGACACCCCTCCCCAGACACATCATTCACAATACTACAATTCTATTGCCTTTTCAATTACCTTTTGTAATATTGCCTTCAGCTTTATCAAAAAAGTATTGAAAGTAATGTAAGGAAATTGAGGGTGTTTTTCCGTATGATAAGATGGTCAATACCTGTATAAGAACTGATCTGCTTTCAGTTTTTATTCTATTTCATAATTTTGTATTAAATCCCAAAAGTAGAACCAGATGACCAGTTAATTCATTCAGAAAATTCCATTACATATCTAAACTGTTCCATTCACAAAATTCTTTCTGGGGAATTACACTTTTAAAATTTGATGTGTAAAGGTTAAACATCTGGAGCTCAGGTACAATCATGGTGTTGTTGTACACAAAATGTTTTTGAAATGTAGTAATTGTAAACAGCATGTCAGGGTACACAAAGTTTTAACCTATCTGGTAACATAAAACAAAATTTAAAAAAACTAACCAGTGTATAAAAAAATGAGATGATGATCACACACCTGATAATCAGGAGTAATGGATATATTTAGGAGGAATATGTTCACATACTTCAGTATAATTCTCCTAAACAATAGAAATATCGGCTGCCTACATACTCTATCATATAAAATCTAGGTGCTGGACTTTATTGAGAATCTAAAACAAAATGACTCTGAAACTCTTGATGTCATATACTAAAATTGTCGTAACAGCTTGCTCAGTTTCGTTATCTAAGCTGGCACTACATCGTAAAAAAATATTGATCTACAATATATCTGTCCAATCAAATTAAAAGTCTGGGAAAGTCTTTTCAACAAGACACTAAGCAGATAACTTTTTTATCATAAAATTATGTTATAAGAAATGTGAGATTATGCTAAAGAGAGTAAATTATATATATATATACACAATGTTAAATTGCATTCAAAAGAAGAATTTTATCCATCTTCACAATGTATTGATCTACCATTAGCTGATAAATGTTGGGTATGTCAAGATAACTGATAAAAAAACATATTTTTAGATACATAACAAGGATGAAATTACCCTGTAATATCCTGCCACCAGTTACAGTCTGGTGGAGGAAGGGAGGTAAATGCAGCCATTCAGGAAGTTTGAGAGATTCAAACTTTCAACAGTCTTCAAATAGTTGGATATGACAAGTAAATTGATTTCAAGACTCATTCTTCTGAAGAGAAATATTCAGAATTAAACCTATTACTTTTTCCAAGAAATGAGCCAACTCAATCGAGATTTCACAATACATGGCCAAACACAGACAACACTGCGAAAAGGATGGAAATGAGAATTAACACAAGGACAAATTCTTGCAGTTAATTCTCTAATGGTTCTCAAATGGCACAGTATTTACATCAAAACAAATTAACTCAATTTCCAACACAAAGTCATAAATTGACTGCCTTATATTTGTTTGGAAAGCCTAAGTAAATACTATCAAGTTTATAGCAGTATGTATACATAAATTGCATAATTTTTAGAAATTTATATCTACAATATAATGTGTTTTAAAGTCCTTCTTTTTTTATAATGTTATCCTTAAAATCATGATAACATTCAATACAAACATTTGCTTTTTACAAAAATGGCTGATTTTGTATAAGAAAACAAAATATCATCACCAAAGTGTTAAAAATGTCACAGACATGAAGGTACTACTGAATCATAACCAACGATTGTAAGGCTGAAATATTGATCTCCAGCAATAAGTATTGTTCATAAAAACATGCAGTATATGACACTTAAAGATATGATTTACAACGATATCACATAAAAGATATGTATGAAAAATTTGAGAAGAAAATGTAAATGAATAAGGAAGCATATGATTATATTACAAAATGACATATTCTGTTATTACAATGTGTAAATAAGTGATTGAAAATGTTTTACATAATTATACAGTATGACTGTCTGATATGTCTACACGTTACAATAGGCTTAAAAGGCCATTGTTCCAATAAAATAATGCAAATATTTTAAAATATGCATTTATTTTGTAAATAGGATTCAAAGATAAAAAGGAATCTATAACATCCATATGAATGGTTCACTGTTAACATTGAATTCATTTCTTAGCATAAGAAAAAAAATAATCAGATGCCAGATAGATCATGTACATAATTTTGACATATTCTTTGTTCAAAAATTAAAATAATTGACAATGCTACTTCCCTGATTAGGACAAAAATCTGATTTACATTAGCAGTGAAACTCCTGCTTTTTAAAACATTATCAATAAAATGTCCATCCAGTCAATCCTTTAATAATCTCCAACCAGTGACATCATCTACAAACTACACCTTATTTCATCAAAATGAAGAAAAAAAAACTCCCTTACACCAAAGTATATAAAAAGCCTATTACCCTTGGCCATTATACATAACACTGAGACTTCCTCAGGCTCTACACTGCTGTAAAATATCTAAGTTAATCAAAATCAGCAATATGGAATAAAAATTACAAGGTAAGGAAGGATTTAAAAGTTCTCACGTCACCACACAGTTCTATTTCACGATATTCATAAATTTGAACATCTTTTTAATTTAACGAGAATTGAGAATTTGATGATAAAAGAAATGAATTCTCCCGCTAGGAAAACTACACAGACTTGCAGAAAGATATGCAAATTACTGCTGTTTTTGTCTCAAATCTGATAAGAATATAAATTTTTGAGATACCTTGATATCACCTTAATGTCGCCAGAGAAATCTCAGTGTAGGTTACATGTTTGTCATGTAAATGTGCTCCTCTGTGTTCCTATGTACAGATGAGGAGTTTACGATTTAAATATGGATTGCACTTGGTGTGTGATGTAATCTCTTACTGGTTCAACAAACTTCATCTGCTGCTTCAACTGTTTGGCGATAGGATGGTTGATATTGGAGTTGTAGATCACTATGGCGACCACGGCCAGAGTCAGCATGATAAACACTAGTGTAGACATGAACACAGCACAACAGGATGGGCCTGATTTCTTCAGGACAACAGGGCTGTCTGTTGTGGCTTGAGTGTGATTGGTTGATGACGTGTCGACAGCATTACTAGCAAGTGGTGCAGATCCAACCATGTTTTTCGTCTGTGGCTCAACAGTCTCTGTGATGACAGGTCCAGACGATTCAGCTTCAACATGGTTGTTGGTCTTTGAGAAACTATCCTTTTTTAAGATTTCTTCCTCCAGGGATTTGATCTGTTCATCGAGACTTATCTTCGGAGCAGAATCTTCTTCCACTTTCTCGTCAATCTCATCTTCGTCTTTTCTATCCACAATAATCTCGTCCTCAATCAGGGTAAAATTTGGTTCGTAATCAGGCAGCTTGTTGTCCGCAGACTCTGAGCTTGCTTGTGATGGAATCATGCCATTGACTTTGACCGGGGACTGCTGTTCCACTGCTTGTACTACCTCAATAGTGTCTGCAATAGTCACGTCCTCTTCCACAGCAACAGGGGCCTTGACGATTGGACTGGTTGGTAGTGTCTCCATATTGGTAGAGGTATCCAGTCCTTCCACATCTACAGCAGATTCTGGAAATAAAAAACAACACATATCATTAATAACAACCACAGTTTTAACAATCCTATTTTACAGGATTTCATTTTCCACAAAAGAAAAATGACTTCATGAACGAAGACCGCTTTCTATCAATTATACACATCATTTACCATCGTCTGGTAAAGTATTCTTTTACCTAGAGTTAATTTTTTCGGACCTGTTGAAAGAACAATACTGTTTATTCCATTATATATTTCCAGGATGATATTTTCACTAATTCCTGCTCCATCAAAGTGAAAAGTTAGTCAGTGAAATAATAGGACGTGTGTAAGATGTCCCTTTACAATCAGATCACAAAATTTTATTCATTAAATATAATATTCATTAAATATAATTTGATTGTTTTAAAAGAAAATTGTGAAAATTTTGACCTGTAAAATTTACCAGCTTTGCGTGTGGTATAAGATAAAACTTAAATAATGGGGCAGAGATATCAAACACATCATTTATTTAACAATCCTCCTGAGGATCTGTTTAACTACAAACAGAAAAAACTTATTTCTTTCATCATCAATGTCAGCTTCAACATTCAGATTAGAATTTTACAGATCACACATAACTATGTAAGTATATAAACATCTATTAGATAAAGTCTGTTACAATCACAAGCGTAATGACATCAAGCAGAGCTGTGATTGACTCGAGGGTCTCATTGTTTCAATTATGACTTCAAAAGTTTGTAGAGTCATATGCATCACCAAAGAAAATATATACAGAATGACAATATTGCTTTTTTATCAGTCTGACGAAATGCTAATTTTGGCAATTTCTTGGGAAAAGTTATGTGATGAACAGAATCTTACATTCTTTCCATTTCATGTGGGTGCCAGTACAGACCTATTTTGAAGGCTTGTTTCATAAATCTAATATGAAAGGAAAACTTGAGTAATATCCTCATTATGTAAGTTCTCCTGATGGATATCTAAAACACATCTGGTCTTAAATGAAGAAAATCAACTTGATGCTATTGAAGACAAAGAGAGAAAGAGAAAAAAAGTTTTAAATGAAAACCTTGTTTCTTCCAATATACACAAATTTTTGGAGTTTGAAGATAAAAAGCATTAAAAATAACATTAAGTGATATTTCAAAACAATGTTCATCGTTTTTTCTAGATAAAAGAATTTTATATAAATGTTAGTGAGTGCAATATAAAGGGTTTATATGATTGCCATACAAAAAAAGGAATAGTTGGATATACAACAAATTCAAGTTCACCAGTACTTTAAGCCAATGTGAGCTTTGTTAGAGAATTAAAGTTAATGTTCATCAAGTCATACAGCATGAACAACAATCAATAGAAACTCCATACAAACATATCACCATCACCATGGAAAAGGTGTTGCAATCTATAAATGCAGGATAGACTAGACCAACAATTACAAGACAGAAACATTTAGAGATAGGATCTGTTACACATAAAAGCACACATGTAATAAAAGTAAGTGTTAATAATAACATTTTTATATATTGTTAAAATTGTATACGTGGAATAATGGAGTTACAGTGAGATATCCTAAAATAACTCCATTACCTTAATATTCTTACTGTAATTATCCTAAAATAGTACCAATATTGACAATAGACCAGAGTCCTGGTGAGGCATTTCCATTGCCTCAATAACCTTACCACAGATATCCTAAAATAGTACCAATATTGACAATAGACCAGTGTCCTGGTGAGACGGTTCCATTATCTCAATAACCTTACCACAGATATCCTAAAACAGTACCAATATTGACAATAGATCAGTGTCCTGGTGAGACAGTTCCATTATCTCAATAACCTTACCACAGATATCCTAAAATAGTACCAATATTGACAATAGACCAGTGTCCTGGTGAGACAGTTCCATTATCTCAATAACCTTACCACAGATATCCTAAAATAGTACCAATATTGACAATAGACCAGTGTCCTGGTGAGACAGCTTCATTACCTGTATATTCTTAGTTTAATTATCCTAAAATAGCACCAATATTGAAAACAGCCTAATGTCCATGTGAGGCAGTTCCATTACCTCAATAACCTTACTGTAATTATTCTAAAATACTATCAATATTGAAAATAGCCCAGTGTTCTGGTGACACAACTTAATTATCTGAATATCAACCTTTAGATTTAACTTATTTATCTCTTATCATTTTAAAACCAGCATCTCAATAAACCATTCAATACACAGATTACCTCCCTTGTTCTTGGACATTAGACCAATACATCAAGTTGTTTAATTCAATATCAGCTAACAGAAATAATCAGACATTCCAGATGCAGTACCACATACGTGGTCTCAGACATGCAGGTAGCAGTGTTGTGATCTGCTACAACAGATCCCCTATAATCCAGGTCCCTACATGTGTGGTGAAGTAAGTACAGACCCTACCCACTATATAGACTTGGTGTTATGGTGACTTAGAAATACATTATACACTGTAGTAATGGCAGTAGTATACTCCTCTATAGCCGTAACAATGCACAAACTTACCCTTAAAGTGTTTCTTATCTACAATTGTAAATAAAAACACACATGCAGAAAAACTTAATGTTAGAAACAAAACATAATATATACAAAGTGATTAAGAAACTCAACACACAGGTTGATACAGTGGAAATAGAAAAAAATGTTTAGGTATATGAAAAAAAACAACAACAACATGAAAAAAGATATTCTACAGGGAGAATTCAGTCTAGCAGAATAACATGTAGGTATTTTATAGTAAACATCTGATTAATATATATATATACCTTTATTTATTACAATGAAATGAAATGAAATTCTCTGATTTTCTTGTTTGGATGAAAATGAAGTAAAGTTGAATAAGCCGGTTTTCCATATACATTTCAGTTTTCTCGTATTTGGTATATAAAAAGTTTTAAGAGTGATTCTCACCAGATAACAGTGAAAAATAGTAGGATACAACGTAAAGCTGCCAATTCAGAATGGCGTCAACTTTTATTTTGGAACAAAAAAAATGCTTGTCAATTCTATACCATCTCATACACTCTGTACGTCAGTGCTAGTACACTCCACACTGGTCATATGTCTGATGAAGGTGACCTTGTAGTCACGGAAACGTCACACTTAAATCTTCTACTGGTTGGGTTACAAGAACTTCTAATCTGATGTCATCTCATGTTGTCAAGTGTAATGTCAAACCACCTGATGTCACGAATATTTTCCTAACTTGACCACTTAATTTCATGTTTTATTTAATTCTCATTTAAAAATGTAATAAAAAGAAAATTTGCTTTACACTTGTGAAAAATCCTACTTGTCAAACTTGTGAAATATTGAATATGGAACAGAAAAATATCAAATATTCTCACAACATTTTCAATCTATTTTTACTTATCAATGTCACAATACATAACACCGTGATCTAGATAACTAGTGTCCAGTCCCTCTAAGTAAAAGCAAAGCATGGAATGTCAAGGGAGTGAAGTGATGGGCAAAAATACGAAGCAGATGGAATCTCAGCTGGAAGTTTTATGTCCTTCTTGATTAATCAATCACTAAAACGTTTTATCATCCTTGTGTGTATATCATATCAATTAGCAACATCTTTAAATCTATTTTTTAATTTTTACTTGATGTACACACACCTGTGCTTTATGCCTATACAAGATTTTACAGTGGTTATTTTATACTACAATGTACTGTATTTTGAACTATTTTGAAATATTTTGAACTATTTTGAACTATTTCATCAAAGATCAAAGTTGTCAGACAATTTCATAAAAAATCTATGTTTTGCAAAGGTTTATATGATGTAAAGAATGAAAATAAAAATAATGATAATAATAAAAAAACACACACACATGAAAAAATTCTCAAAGATCTTGCGATATCGATCTTGAAATGCTACTTTGAAGTGCTATATGGAGCAGATTCTCTGCAAAAGATTTGATAAGTAATGCAAAGTTTGGTCAAATATGAGCAGATGTAGAAAAGGTGTGCACGGAATTCGTTTGAAGTTAGCTCCCTTCAGGTGAGGTGCGACCACATGAACCACTACAAAATATTACTCTACCTGGTTTCAGCTCAAGAATTGGCAGAGGTTGAACTGTTAACACATCAACAGGTATACAATCATCTTGAGGTACACACAGAAGGCTAAATCACCCATAGTGTTCATCAAATTAACATGATAGGTATATTATTAGAACACCTCACAGATGGACATGTTCAGAAAATTCTACAGTGATGGCATATTAAACACCTCCAAGGACATTTGTGGTTTGTCAAACCAATCTAAGTTTATTTGTATGATGGGTTGTGATGGAAATTCTGGGACACATGCAGATTGGGCACATTACATATACTATATACCTGGTACCATATTACAGACTCTAACACAGAAAGAGAGAGATTATGTATATTCTTTGACTAGTCTTATAGCCACAGATTTTCAAAAATTTAGCAAAATCTTAACGTTAAAGTTACTTGTTTTTTAATTGCCCTCATTAATTATATATAACAGATCTAAGTAAATACATTTGGTTTCCACATTTATTTCACGAAAATCATAGTGTTATATTACATTTTGATAACAGTTTCAACTTAAGATAGCAACAGCTTGTAAACGAAATGAATATAATATCTGTATGTTTCTTAATCAAAACATACAATGTAGATAAGTATTTAACATTACAAAAACAATTCTGTAGCATATTGGTAATTGCATGCAAAAAAAACCAAAAGAAATAAAAAGGAAACAAAAACCTAGAAATTTTGCTTGTAGAGAAATGACTGATTCTAAACTTCTGAAATCTCCTCTTATATTAAACAGGTCGGGCAAATATTATGTTAGTTTCCCTTTACATTACCAGTGATTCATTTCAGAATTTGGAAATAAATAAAAAGAATATTCTATCATTTTCATTTGAATGGTCTATATGGCCCTCGTATGAAAGGTATTATTTTTTCATATGTGGCTGTCATTTCCCATAGAAGTGGAGACACTTCCAGCTACCTATCACAAAACTTATTCAAACTTATCTAAGTTTATACTTAGATAATGCAAAACAACTTTTAACATCTTTACAAAACAGAAAAAAATCAATTTTTTATCATATTTTCATTTTTGTTTAATTTCCATCTGAGGTATAACTTCTGATGCCAATTAAAAAAGGTAAAAAAAAATTATTTTAAATTACACAATTTTTTTTATTGAAAAACAAACAAATAAACAAAAAATGCAACAGATAAAATAAGCTTTGAGTATTATACTGTATTATTATCATTTTTACTGCTATGAATTAATATTAGAACATAAAATAAGAAACGGTATTCAATATGATGTGCAGAACAGTATATAGAGTATATATGATATATCACAACTAACAAGCCAATCTATACAAGCAAGGACTGTAAACAGATACCAAAGGGACATAACTCACCTTCCTTCACAGTATCATTAAGAACTGAAGAATTCTTCAGAGAAGCCTTGCTATCACTCTTCCTGCCAAAGTTGGGCAGTGATGATGACCTACAAACATTCATTAACTATAACCTGACCAGACAATTGTTCAAATGAAATCAACTATAAATATCCTATACACTTCTATTTAATGCTTCAAACACACAGTCTTCGAATATATAAAAACTCACATAATAATCGTCTACTGTGTTACCAAAGTGAGAGTTATGACTGCAGTTATAATTATCATAATATGGTACAAAACACACACAATAGGTAAAGTGAAATCAGTAATAAAAGTGAACAGTTTACTGTTAAATTTTGTTTTCATTTGATAAGGGCTATTCTGTGAGTCTTAATTATTTCTTTAATTATTGCTTGCTACATCTCAAAATCTCAAAACCATAAATTCTATGTTATATGTCTGAATTTATTCAAGATTGTAAAATCAATACATGTAACCTGTCTATACATCAGCTGTGATCTCTGTTTACTTATGTTACATTATTATAAAACAGAAAGTAGGAGATACCTGGAGAAGCTCGGCTCGTTCCTGTTAATTCCGTCACTGTTGCTATATGCTTCATTCTGACACTTTCCGCTAAAAATAACAAGATGATAAATATTTTATTTAGTAATAACAGAATTACAAAATAAATTTATCCTTGAAAATCAAAACCCATGTTTTTGTCCATAATATTTCATGAAAGTTAATTTTAACAATTTTGAAATGCTGAACTTCCTAACTTGGCTACTTGAACTTAATTTTTTTAAAAACATTGACCTTCCTGACCCATCTTAACTTTGACCACTAAGAGAGCAGTGACTTCTTGACCTACCTGAACCTGAACTTTGACCCTCGTGAAAACAGAGATCCTCCTGACCTCAGCTTGGGCGGGTTGTCCGAGTTAGGTAACCTACAAATACAAAATAATGAAAGAACTAAACACGTGAGGTAGCATTTTAAGATATGGTAGGTTGTTAAGAATGTACATGGATATATAATTAATCAGATCATAAGATATTGGGACATCTCTTTCTTAAGATGATAAGACATTGGGACATCTCTTTCTTAAGATGATAAGACATTGGGACATCTCTTTCTTAAGATGATAAGACATTGGGACATCTCTTTCTTAAGATGATAAGACATTGGGACATCTCTTTCTTAAGATGATAAGACATTGGGACATCTCTTTCTTGAGATTTTAAGATATTGGGACATCCCTTCCACGAGATGATAAGACATTGGGACATCTCTTTCTTGAGATTTTAAAATATTGGGACATCCCTTCCACGAGATGATAAGACATTGGGACATGTCTTTCTTGAGATGATAAGACATTGGGACATCTCTTTCTTGAGATGATAAGACATTGGGACATGTCTTTCTTGAGATGATAAGACATTGGGACATCTCTTTCTTGAGATGATAAGACATTGGGATATCTTCATATTGAAATGAAACAATATATAGATATATCCTTCTTCAAATGATAAGATACTGGGATAGCATCTATTGACCAGAAGATATTCAGCCATATCTCCTTCTCAGTTAATAACGAGATTCAGATACCTCCTGGAGATGATAGGGTATCCAGATTAATCTTCGTTCAGTAATAAGAGATTGGATATGTCCTTGAGATGAAAATATAAGCAGGATATATCTACTTTTCAGGTGATCACACATTATTGGAAATTGGACATCTCTATCAATTATAAAGTATTACATCATGGTTTGAAATCTAACCATTTTTTTCATTAGGATTATAAAAGTGTGAAAGAAAATTTTGTGATTTTAACATATCTCAACTGCCAAAACCATAACAGTATACGACATTAACTTGTGATTTTAACATATCTCAACTGCCAAAACCATAACAGTATACGACATTAACTTGTGATTTTAATATATCTCAACTGCCAAAACCATAACAGTATACGACATTAACTTGTGATTTTAACATATCTCAACTGCCAAAACCATAACAGTATACGACATTAACTTGTGATTTTAACATATCTAAACTGCCAAAACCATAACATTATACCACATTAACTTGTGATTTTAACATATCTCAACTGCCAAAACCATAACAGTATACGACATTAACTTGTGATTTTAACATATCTAAACTGCCAAAACCATAACAGTATACGACATTAACTTGTGATTTTAACATATCTTAACTGCCAAAACCATAACAGTATATTCTCCATTAATTTATAAAGTTGACCACAAAATTTAACAACTTGTCAATCTCACTTAATACATACATAAGGTAGACCAGTTCACATTACTATCTGTACAGAGTCAGAAAATGTATCCACCAATAGCTTCCCTTTTAACATAACTGCTTGTCTCTCAACTCAAATATCAATAGTGGAATAGGATTTGATGAGCTACCAAAAGTACTATTACGGGAATTGAATATCAATACAGGGAAGCTTGTTAGTGGCAATATGTCTTACAAATTACATTTGATTCAAGACCACCAGAATCAGTAGAATGCACAAAGAACGAAGACAATTCAAGCAGCGAAGTCTCATTATTGATTCTACCAGAAAACATATAAGTCAATTGCACAGATGATTTCACATGTGGTAAATGAATGTAGACAAATTAAATACTAGCATGTCAAAACCAAATCAACTAGGAACCAAACATTATTTGATATGCTACAGTTTCTCCTTTTTTCTTTATATTTCAATTTGTTTTCAAACTTGCATACAGGCATATAAGTTTGCTGGGAAACTGTTGTACAGTATGAATGTTGAGAGAACGTGCCACTATTTCATCATACCTACATCTCTATCAAAGCCTTAGAAAATCTGTCATGATTATGAATGTGTGTAGTAAAAAAAAAAAACCCAACGTTACCAAATGAATATGATACAACACCACACTAACATTTTACTTACACAGTAAACAAAACAATGAGATAGATGCAGGTGCCTATTTGTTTAAAGTATGTTGCTGTACTGATCTAACTAGTACATCTACCTTATAAATTAACACCACATCCTCAATTTTTTGGTAAAGAGAATGTACTACAACTAATTTTTGTCCATAAATACATACTTACTTAACTAATCTGTCACCACAATATTTTGATTAAGAACACTTGATAGGTAAAATATAGTATATATAGAAGTTATCAAAATCCAAAAATTGCAATATATTTACGTGAAGAACAACTGCTGTTCCACAGCACACCGCCATAGGTATTTACACGCCCCTACCGTCTGGCACTTGTAGCCGATTGGTTGCTGCTTCTGTCAAATATTACAAATTAATCAAAGAGATTAGTTCATTTTATTTACTAATCATATCAGTCTTTAGGATCACAGGGCTTTGATTTAGTTAAGGTAATTGTAAATATGGACCTTTCCTGGTCTGTTAAGATGGTTTTTTAGAAGAATTAAGAATTACATTCAGTAACATGCATACATTCAAATCTGTGACAAGAATAGGTTCAAAGACTGGAACTAATTCTCAAGTCCCTGTGTAAGGAATTTGATTGGACTCAATCTCTTGGCCATTGTAGACTGATGGTATTATGACATTAATTTGATACATAAATGTGATATGTCTTCATCATGTTACTTTAATACATTTATCTTACTCGGCATTAAAAACAGGAAGTGAATGATTCCGAAATTAGAAACATGACATTTGTAAACTCCAATAGAATGGCAGCCAACTGATCAGGACTAACACTTATTCTGTATTATATTAGATTCAATTTCTTTTGATTAGAGACTTGCTAATGATATTTAAAAGGCACTTGAATAACACCCATATTTGGAATAAAAGAATGATTAATACAAGTTGCAGTAGAAGCATTTGTATCTCTGAAACACAAGTAGTATATATTGGTGAGTCAGAATTAAATCAATATCATCAGCTTCCTGTTGTTGTTTCTAAAAATAGAATTAATAAAAGACAAAGTCTAAAAAAAAACCAATTTGAGAGCAAGACTCTTCCTTCTTCATTAAGTGGTGTGAACATGGTAGCAAAAGTTGATGTCAAAAGTATAATTAACACCAGAAAAATATATAATTAATACAAAATTATAATGATTTTATTTAAATGCACTGGAGGAAGTGTGTATTTAACATTTGCAAAAGAAAGAATTTAGTTCTGTTAAAATTTAACCTTAGAATAAACTTGTTTATATACAAGAGAAAAACATTTCATAACATTCTCAACAGAGTTCAGTTCTGATTAAATTCAATCTTTGAATCAATTAACAATATAAATTTAACTGAGTTTATAAGAGACGTATAAATTTAGTTCTGATTAAATTTAATGTGATATGGAGTACAATATCTATTCATACAAGTCCAAAGTCACAATAACATCTGAGAAGTATAATATATAGCAGGGACAACACGGAAGAAACAGCCTACAGAGTGCTTATTGACAAGATGTCTCAAATACATGTACAAGTAGACATCTTTGTACATAATACTGGGGATATGTTGATGTCATGTGATCTGATTCAACCAATCAGTAGAGTTCAAATGTGATGTCATGTGATTTGATCCAACCAATCAGTAGAGTTCAAATGTGATGTCATCTAATGAGTGGTAGTGTGAGGTACGATAATTAAACATACCAGTGAGTTTAACTCTTAATTTCTATCAAATACATAATTTGTTAAAAAGAACGTGTATATTGTATGACCTAAAGTGAGTTGTTCATTGAACAAAATATAATTCCATTGTGATACAATTTAAATCTTGAAAGAAAAAAAATAACACAAATACAAAGTGAAAATATAAGTAATTATTTATATGTTTCCATAAAATTTTTCCCTCAAAAATATGTTGAAAAATTTTCACAAAAGAAACGACTAATCGTTGCTGATGGTGTAATAACACTTTAAACATTTTTGCTTGGAATTGGATTTGTACCTTAAGTTTAATATATCTAATCACAAAACTTTAGAATGAAAAACAGCAGTAATGACACTATTATGTAAGACATATGGAAAAGCAAGGTCTTACTTTCAGGACTTTTTGTCACACTAGTGAGAAAAACATTGAAAAGCAGAAGTCAAACTTAGTTTTCACTTCAAATTGAATTAAAAAACAAAAAAAAAATTCAGTTTGTGTAAACTTTTACTCATCAAATCTTCAAAGTCAGAATTTAGAATTCGGACCAGAAGGAACAGAATTTAGATCTATACCCTGACAGTGTTCGCAAAATAAAAAAGATAGAGTCTCACACTTAAAACTCAAATACACCATGCAATAATACCAGGATATAGAAAATAAGAGAAAAGGATATTTAAAAACACCAATACCTTGAAAAGATTAAATCCCTTTAAAAAAAGAAAATATTGATTGTTTTATAAGTGTAACAAATTTGTACTGTACATTTAATGAAAATAGTTTACAGAGCGAATTCATTATTTTTTTTAATTGTACATTGCAGAAAATGACTTGTTTGGAAATTTGCCAAAAATTGAAACAGTTCAGACTTTCAAACTTTTTGATATGTTTTTTGCACAAAAATGTCATATACCCTGCAGTTATAACTTGAAGGCTGACGTTAAAATGATTTACTCTCACACAATCAAAGAAGGAAATTCACATAAGGGTTTCCCAAATGTCACATTAAATTCACTCCAACTTAATGTACACTTCCATGCTTTAGATAAAAATTAATGCAGTCATGAAGATATTCCTTTGCACAAAACCACTGTTTGAAGGTTCTGTGATCACTACCATGTTCATATTTCAATCAAAGCAGACAAACTGAACAGAAACTCAATAGAAAAGATCAATGGCACACAGGAATAACATTTTTCCTTTTCTGTTTAGCTTCACTTGAATCAGATTGCTCATGATATTTATTGTAGCTTGCTTTATACAAAATCATGATTAATGTTATTGAATTTTAATTGACATCATGATTGTGTCTTAATTTCAGGGTTGGCCTTTATGATATAAATAGATTTTACACATAAGAGTTAGTGCCTTATGGCTAATTCATATCTGGGTTTGTGTCTAACTAATATCACAGTTGGTGTCTTAATCTCTGGGTTTGTGTCTAACTAATATCACAATTGGTGTCTTAATCTCTGGGTTGGTGTCTAGTATTTACAGACAAGAATAAAGACCTCAAAATTGGTTTCTATCTCATAATTGATAACAGGGTTCAGTGTCTGATATTCAAAAACATCAGAGTTTACATACATTTATCAAAAATGACTTGCAGGGACTTTTTTTTAAAGATATTGAAAAAGTTACAATCAAAATTGAAAAGCAAAGAACATGCATCCTTCTTGGAGAGAATCTGAAATACCTTCGTCCTTGACTGTTGTTATTCCACATCCAAGGAAGCAAGAAGAATGAGAACAAACAAACAATAACCAAACCCACTGGGAATTGAAAAATTGGGGAATCAAAAACATCTTTCTGAAAATTCAGACATTGGATACTAGGAATTCAGACATTTGATAATGGGAATTCAGACATTTGATACTGGGAATTCAGACATCTGATACTGGAGGATAACGTTTAGATCCCATTGAGAATAACTTTTAGACCCTATTGAGAATAATTTTGAGATCTATTGAGAATAACTTTGAGATCCCATAGAGAATAACTTGCCTTTTAACATTAATTCTATATCGTTAAATGAAACATCAATATAAAAAATAGAGCGATCAAAACTGAACAAAAAATACTTCACTCTAATTCCAACCACATTGACAGATGATTACAATACACTGACACTAGTATTACATTTTAATGGAATAATTGATTTAATTATTATTGATTTAGGTTGAATTTCTGCTCACATCTTACACAGACCCATCCTAATTTTCCTTCAAGAGTTTTGACAGTATTGCAAGGCATGCACTATTGTGGAGAATTCTCCTCTGAAGGTTTATTTGGATATCCTTAAATATGTGGAGTCAGTAATTCAAATCAAAGTCTCTAAGGGTCAATTGTCATTTAAATCTAGGTCAAATGTCAGTAACTAATTAACAAACACAATTAAGATTCATACCTTTCCAAATGATACATGCTTGTTCCATACATACAATACCAAATCAAACTACCTGCATGGTCATCCCACCAATTAAGGAATAAAACCGACACCATTACACCCAGGAAATCACCTTCCTACGTCAGCCTCTAAAGGTGATATGGCTTTTGTGTTATAATTACAATATTATCATTCTTTTTGTCATTATTTCATTATCAGCTGGTAAATGCAGTAAAATGAATTCATTAAAAGTTGAGGTTTTAACAGCCTCCCACATACCCACTTTTCCTCCCTTTTTTCATGTCCAAAATAAACTTCAAAGACATTTTAGTTTTCAATAAATACTGAATATTTGACCAATTTTGAAGAACTGAATGACCTATAAGTATATTTACAACCTATATGTACTAAAACAAGTTATAAGCATGCAGCCATCAGCTCTCCTGATTAATAATCCTGTTCCACGTATATCACTTCACTAGGTCAGCGATGGAAATGGAGACTAGGGTGGGTGGGGAGTGGTGATAAAGGGTTGTAAGGATACTGGAGGCAAAGGTCGATGGTGTCCAGATATAATGGTATGAGTTGTTTTAAGTGATCATGAAATAAAATATAAAAAAAAAATCTCAAGTTTACGTCTTCGTCCATGTTGCCTGCGTTGGTACAAAGGTAAGAATCCAGTGTCTGGGCCTAAATACCAAGATCATATTAACAAATATGTCATAAAACTAAAACAGTTTCTTTATCAAGGCAGAATTCATATTCATTTACTGGTATATCACTGACTGATAATAACGATATACGTTCTTCTAATCAAACAATCAAATTACTACATATATCTGATATCTAAGACAATGGAATCATACCACTTCACTTTATAGAGAATTAAAATTTTAATCAAATTAAATATCTTGTTTACTTAACATCTACAGATTTAACAATTGGTCTATTTTATTTAGCATATCAATGTCATTAAATCTGAAATAATATTAACTTACCATACGGTCAAACCTGTCTATAAAGGCCACTCTTAGGTATCAGAAAAATATGGTCTTTATAGACAAGTGACCTCTATATCAAGGCTTAAGTACTATGAATCGCAATACATTGAGAATCAAAAAAGTAGCATTACACACAAGGTTTTTTTATACATAAAACACATTTACGGCAGTTTTGATAGTACAATAAATGTAAGCTTTCAGTAATTGTAAGTATAACAGAAGGTGAATCCCTCTCCAGTGTATGTCAGTCACTGTGTAGACACAACACAGACAAGCATTACAGGATCTGAAGCTTATACAGATTTCTTAAAATCAGAAGGCGATGGAAACATATGTCAAGATGTCTGCAGATTCACAGAAATATTGTTATAAAAATGAACGGAAATACAAGCACTGTGCATATTAACCTCAAAGTGTAAATCAAAAACTGATCGAGAAAAACTTCAGCATCAATGGAGAGACAAAAGTGAAAAATGTTCCTCAAAACCATCAGACTAAGTAAGTATATGCATATCTGTCACTCTGACAGTGCATCCATTTGGTTTGGACTTGTGATATTTTTCTGTGTTGAATTTTGGAGGTTGTTTAGGACTTTTTGACTTTTAATGTTTTCATAAATTGAAAATACATGTAGCATGTTCCTTGTATATATTAATAAAAAATGTTTTAGGTAATATTTTGGAATGTTTTCATAGGGTAATGTGGAATGAAAATACATGTAGCATGTCACTCAAAAAATAAGGCTTGTATATATTAATTTCTTCCTTCTTAAAAAATGTTTTAGGTAATATTTTTTTAAAAACAGCATTGACACATATTTATTCTTACCCAAATCTTTATTCCTTTTTCTGTATTTGATAGATTCTACATGTGGATGTGCATCCAGACACTTGAAACTTATTGGTATAATGTGGAGGAATCATACTGTTATAATTATATAAGAAATGTTTATGGACACTATTGGGAAAAAGTAGTTCCAGACCATGGTGAGACTACTTCTCATTATTGGGCAGTGGTGTCAACATGTATATTTGCTATGCTTGATGAAAACTTTTTTTTTGTCAATTTGTTTTCAATATACTTTATTATATTAGTATAATAGGTAAGTATCAGGAATGTAAAGATAATCAATATGTATGACATCGCTGGACGCTAGTTTTGACAGCAAGTGCAATTACATGATACATTTCCACACCATTAATTAGAACACACACAACATACAGTTTGAAACCTTTGGTGAACAATTCAAATCTTTGATGAAACACACTTAGGAAGAAATACACTGTAAGTCACAGACTTACACATTGGACAATCACAATGGGTACAACAAAAAGGCTGGCTTCAAAGGGATTGAAATATATTTCCATCAAAAATATCTAAAGGCTTGCTTTAAAGGGATTGAAATATATTTCCATAAAAAATATCTAAACTAAATGCTTATGAATGCAAATACACCTTTTTTTGTAACTTCAAGCAAGCTGTCATACTCAACGGACAATAAAGGGATGATACTTGTAATGCATGCAAATAACCAACCATGATCATGATTCATCTGTAAGCTCAAATCTGATAGGCTAACAATGAATCAATCATAGTGAAATAACCAGCCATGATCATGATTCATCTGTAAGCTCAAATCTGATAGGCTAACAATGAATCAATCATAGTGCAATAACCAGCCATGATCATGATTCATCTGTAAGCTCAAATCTGATAGGCTAACAATGAATCAATCATAGTGCAATAACCAGCCATGATCATGATTCAAGTATTAGCTTAAATACCATTGGCTAACAATGAACCAATCAGAAAGCTGATTACATTAAAACATAGGCATGTAATGATGATACAAAACATAAACCATAGGAGATGTAATTACACCACTCCCATGCATTACCTTCTTGGTATTAGCTGTATCTTCATCCTAAGAAAATTAACGCAAATGCATAAAGAATCTGGGTTAGGATACATTCAGCTACAATATTAACATTAAACACAAAGGGCCTGTGAATGTCAGAAATCCACATACATCAGTATTGATGTATCCTATTATAAACCTTGACCTGCCAAATCTAATGTAGTTTTATCAATAATATTAATAAAAGCATCCTACACTGTAATAAGCCTAACTCCAAATTTTGAGCCACAGTAAGACTACATATTGGCTGTCTAGGCTTATTGCTGGATAAATACGGTCCTTTGTTCACTTTTTCTAAATATTATATGTTTACTTGTTATCTTCATATGTAAATCCTATGATGACGGCTGTTTGTGAAATTCTAAAATACATTTACCCCTAATGGATTTACGTCGTTTCTTAGGGGAAATAAACAGTAATGCAGAGTAATGACATTTCTCAATCCCATTGTCTGATGCTAATAAAATCATACTCTTAAAATAGCCTACACTGAAAACAAACAACAATTATACAATGACAAAAATATGATCAAGTCTGATATATGATTGATGAAACTTTTAAAAGATGTTGGTGTAAATCATAAAGGGACAGGTTCATTCATACATAGTGGAGTATATAAACAAATGGGTATACACTTGTGTGTCTACCTAGATAATATTCCAATCAAAGGACTGAATCATGCAGAAAAATGTCAGAATTATTTCAGCTTTATTAAATGAATACACACCTCAGCAATATTCACATGGACGATGAACATCTTGCCCTCGTAGGCTATCCTGCGAATCTGATTCCTGGAATGGATATTTAATATTTACATTACAGCAATGACTTCCACTCAAATAGTTCTAAATATTCTGTAATTGTTGTAATGACTTCAAGTACACAAATTTGATTGATATTCTGAAATACAATATCACATCAAATATGGCCAGGCACATTAGCTAATATAACTGCACCAATGATACAGGTACATGAGAAGGTGGATTTATTTACACAATTATTTTACCAGTATTCACTGTATAAATTTACACAGGTTTATCTGGTACTATGATATAGTTTTACTGGTATACAAATAGCACACAATCTTTCATATTGGAAAATAGTTGTATTGAAGGATTTGTTTGTCTGTTTTTATTTTTTTTTGACATCACAGATTTCAGAATGATATCATGAAAACAGATGTAACAAAAAACCAGTACCATTTAGTAATTAACATTGGGTATTTAATATTGCTTAAATAAGATTACTTTATAGCAATTAATCTCAGAATAAGGATAACCACCAAGATTATAAGACTAAGCAGTATGATATGATGCAAGTGACTTACCATTTGTAGAGCTGTGTGCGTCGACTACCGTAGAAAGTCATGATGCCTTGGTGTGTAACACCCAGGTAAAATTGTGTCCCCTTATGGTCCTGCCAATCAAAATATGCCATGTTAAATTTGGCCATTGATGATGATAAAAAATGTATCGACTGAATTTTCATTGGATGATGAACAATGACAATAAAAGTTCTTTATCTGATTTATAACTATTTATAATTTAAAAAATTATGGAGTAATTTGATTATAATTGTTGAGAAATTATTTAATATCTGATAACCATACACTTCAATCATTTTCAAAATACTGAAAATCACATTCAATAGATAACTGGTTAAATCCCCAAACCAGGTGGTCTGTTAAAGTTGCTTTTCACTGACCTTGACCTGATGAGGGTCAACACCATATGTATCTAAGGACGCAGCCTTCTTCAGGAAGTTAGCTTCAGCCTCCGCTGGAACCTGGCCACTACAGAAAACACACAACATATAAACTAAACCTTTCAACTCATCCACGAAACAAGTCAGCCAAAAACAAGACATTTTTAATATTTGTTAAATTCATTAATAATTAAATTGTTTTCCATAAGTGTTTGTTTTTGTTAGCTGGTTTTATTTCTCTTTCAGTAAGTCATATGAGATAAGCTACACCACACTAAAAACACATGTGGAAGGCTAAAAGTGTGTGATGATCCAGAGATAAAGGAATCTATCCAAGGTCAAAATCTCAACAGCACTAGATGTTCTGTGGTCTCTTGATAAACACAAACCACCTGTGCAGGAATTGATCCTCATACCTCGTCACCTCCGATCTTTCCAGGAGGTTGTGAAGTCTGATGCACTGTATATATATATATCATCATGTCCTCTAATCTATACTGAATACTTATTATAATTGAATAAAACAAATATTGTACATTTCTAATGTCGACCACTTGTGAGTAGAGTATTGTAAACTCAAAGTGTCATTAACCTGAAATAGTCGTCTATTATTATTATCAGTATAGGTATAAACATTTATAGAAACAATACAAACTGACAACTTATGCTGTTTTGGAGTTTAAAAGACATACTTGAGGGTTTTGTGGAGTTCCATGATTTGTTCCTCGGTCTTTGGGTTCTGTTTGGGTAACATTTTGAACTCTGTCACATAGCCTGGGGGATGGTCCTCTGCCTCATAGTCGCCCACCTCCGCTGTAAAATCACAAGTTCAAATCAGTATCTTCTAATGATAAAAAAATCTTCATGATCACAACATCAAGAAGTGTAATCCTCTCTTAAAACTACACAAAGCCTTTAATCCCTTGTTTAACAAGGGTTTTCTTACAAAGCCTTTAATCCCTTGTTTAACAAGGGTTTTCTTACAAAGCCTTTAATCCCTTGTTTAACAAGGGTTTTCTTACAAAGCCTTTAATCCCTTGTTTAACAAGGGTTTTCTTACAAAGCCTTTAATCCCTTGTTTAACAAGGGTTTTCTTACAAAGCCTTTAATCCCTTGTTTAACAAGGGTTTTCTTACAAAGCCTTTAATCCCTTGTTTAACAAGGGTTTTCTTACAAAGCCTTTAATCCCTTGTTTAACAAGGGTTTTCTTACAAAGCCTTTAATCCCTTGTTTAACAAGGGTTTTCTTACAAAGCCTTTAATCCCTTGTTTAACAAGGGTTTTCTTACAAAGCCTTTAATCCCTTGTTTAACAAGGGTTTTCTTGTTTAACAAGGGTTTTCTTACAAAGCCTTTAATCCCTTGTTTAACAAGGGTTTTCTTACAAAGCCTTTAATCCCTTGTTTAACAAGGGTTTTCTTACAAAGCCTTTAATCCCTTGTTTAACAAGGGTTTTCTTAACAACACATGAAAATCATTGAAAGTGATATGTATATACCAGATTCATTCTATATAGAAAATGATAAAAATATGTCTCAACCTGAAAAATAACACCTGTAACGATTCGTTAGAGCTCAGTAAATCACCTGAATGATAAACAGATAACATAGTCTCAATAACTCCTATATAAAGCTAGTTGCATCTCCTCAATAATGACTACTGTAAACAACTACTTCCTTACACAGGCAATTTACTTCTATTTTCATATTAGTGAATCTGCATTTACTTACTTCTCCTCCACTAAACCTGTGCATGTAACTTGCAACTACAGATAAAGGGGAAAAGAAACAGTGTTGTCTTTTATTTCTGAATGGCCTATCAACATTTCTAGACTTACACTGTATGATGTAGGCTGCCAACAGATTGGCATCAGCTGGTGAACACAGAAGTCGGCCATGATGCAGATCTCTCCGCAACTGAAGAAACAGGTAGTACCTGTAATTAAAACAGAGATAAACATCTTCATTCTGTCTCATACATTTCTCTTAATCTGTGGATGTTTCTATTACCTTTGTCGTGGAAATAATGTGACACACATTTAGTCTAACTAAAGGGGTATTCAACTTTTATCTGTTTTAGTGGATACAATTACAAACACCCTTACAGGGTTTATCATACTAAAAGTCAGGGGTTGGAATAATATTTACAGTTCTACATCACAGCCTGCATGGCCAGGCATAGGCTTATCATCACTTGGCATGGGCTTATTGCCAAATAAAAACAGAAAGTGCAGTTAAGGCAATGAAAAAATGATATATTATTATCAAATCATAAGATTTTACTGTATTGCATCGTGAATTTTGTCAGTAATCTTATCAGTAGTAACATTTATCACCAATAGAAAAATTATATTTAAAATTTTCTCTCACAGAAGTTCTAAAAAACAACACATTTTTTATCCTGATTGATTAGTGTTTCTGCTGGATAAAAACCTATCCTAACATCATAAAACTGTCTATGCAGCATTTATATCCAGGCCAATAGTGTTACTGTAAGACATATGTGTCACCAGTACAGTCAGTCTTAATAAATTGAGAAAACAACAGAAGATATCTTGGGAAATTTAATGATCACTTGTGATAATAAAGATTATAGTCCATAGAAGGAATGCTAATTAAAACCTAACACTTCGTCGCACTTTGTGGTTTTTATTGATTTTTACAAAACATACAAATTTTTGAGCGTTAGTTGAGTAAAATTTCGAAATAATCAATTTTTTGTTTTTTTGCTCTTATAAAAGACATGGGATATGATGACTTTGATGTGAGAGGATTGAGAATCATTCTTCTATCATTTTTTAAAAAAATTGCTCATTAAGACAAATGGTATTGTCACATAGCAATAATTTAAAGAATCAACAACATAATTATGGAAGTAGGATTTTGAAGATTTTCCTTTGTATCCAGTATGCTGCACCCTGTTCCTTTGCCTAAAGGCAGCTGAGACTGTCAGCTTTTACTAAATTGAATTTACTTCATTCAATGATGTTATATTATGTGATGAAAATCTACAACAAATTTCTGCAAGCAGTGTTTTATTGGGAATGCTAAAAACAGACTCCTTGGACCAGATAAACTAACAGAAGATTTTAAGTGGATCATCAGACATCAATAGTCTATTAACTCTATTGAGCCAGGGTTCCTTTCCCTCTGTTCTTCTTTCATTCTCTTTGCACTTAAAATGTACTTATGTGTTGTATTGACAAACCAAATGCAAAATTGTGGGATTCTTAATAATAAAATTTCGGAAAGACATTACAACTTTTAGCATGAATACATTTCGTACACCAAATTGTACCCCATTAGTCAATAATTATAGTATTCCTGTAGATAGGGCAACTCTTACCTTGTAATTTCTTCTCGTAATTTCATGGGATCAGCAGGGTAGAATTTGACTCGGAAGCAAAGAACAGTGGGGTTGACACCTGAACAAAAGAACCAGGGTTAAAACTCTCTTATATAGTCAGAAGCATTTGTATCAGTTCACAGGCATTTTACAATGATGTGAATATGTCTGTATCTTCTAAAAACAAGAAATAAAAAAAAAACAAAATGTTCAAATCTTTTACCTTTCAATTGTTTGTAGACAGATTTCAGGGGGTCCAGCCAGTGCTGAAAATATAATACCAATAATTAGTGTCTAAACCACTTATCATCTCAATATCAAAATGTGATATCAGATACCAAGTTCTTTCTAGAACGTATACCTCTGACTGTAAATAATCAGGTGTTCAACTTTTCTATTTTCCTCTAAATCATTCTCCTCTTGTCCCTATATTGATGATTTCCAACTAAAACCTAATCAATATGCAACAGGATGCTACCTAAGGCTTACATAAGATTTATTGTGTATGAGCTGAAAAAAGGTTTATATGGTAATTAACATTACATAAAATGTTTTAGGGAAGCTTCAAAAATGTGCAAGTCAATTTGAATTTATCTAAATTTTGATCTAATCTCCCAATTTTTTTTTTCTAAAGTAATGAATATGAGACATGAATGACAACAGAAAAGCAAACCATGTCTCACTTGATGGAGGAAGACAATCACAATTAGGGAAACTTCATTGAAATACAAATTAGGACTAAATATCCACTAGACTACTTTCTTCTTGTTCTTCTGCACTTGCTTTAATTACAAGACCCATTCAGTGAAAATTGCTCACACCTTTAATTTAAGGAAGCACACACTCTTATTTACTCTAAACTAATGAGAGTAGCCTCCCTTTAACTTATCAGAAATTCTAGAGCTGTATGAATATGATTTAGTTGCCTTTAATGCAATTAAGTATAGAATATGTAAATAAGACAGGTGATTCCATAAAAAACAGAGGTCTGTTTTGTAGATGTGTTTTACGAGTTTCCGTACTTGTTATCCATCGGCACAGTTCCTTTAACGATTGACTCGTCATTCAAGTCATACTTATAACTGTTCAAATATTTAACAAACCCTACATACTTCCTGTTTACAAAGAGCTTCAGGCCTGAATGTCTCGCACAACTTTTATATGTTTTAAATACTATTACGGTGTGAGATAATCTTTGAATTGAAGTAGTTATCAGTAATCGGTTGATAGGTCACGGAGGTAGTAATTCATAACTGACAGACAGAAGAAGTTGACTTTTTAAACAAACTTTCTACATGTTAGTTTACCTCAGAAACGTACAATTCAGAGCCAATTGATTGACATTTATATGTAATGCATCTTTTGAAGCGGTTGGATATAGACAATAACCATTTTAAATTATAACCTACTATTTTGCAATATCCCTATTGAGTTGACAGTAATGTGAAGTAGTCCTCAACCTGCCTGTAGTTGTAAATGTTGACATGTTAACAAAACTGTGACAGATTTTAATTTGCTTTGCATCCATAATAAACAATAATTTTGTTAAAATTGCCCCAGATTTAAATTTCAGAATCAAAGTACATGACAACTAGTCAATGCATAATTTAGACTAAAGCTTGAATGTAGCTACAATGTGTGAGGTTTCCTGACAATCTATAGAGCAGTTAGAATGAGATGATATGATAATTGAAAAATGTTTAAAATTTTCTAACCCCAAACATTTGTTTAAGACGCTCACGACTGGCCTCTGATGTTGTAGTTATATCAACACTTTTCTCAAACGTCAGAAATTGAGGCAGTAGAGTATAGCTTAGCAGTAAATTCTTTAAGTATACGACAGTATAATATATTGCAACATGAAGAGACAGTGAAGTTAATTCAGCATGAAATATTCATTCCCTGGTCCGTATCAACTTGATTAACTATGTACAGTCTGGGAGCACAATATACCTTTCTAGTGTACATACAGTATCCAGACATTTTATGTTAATATTTCACAAAAGTAAAACCTTATCTGAGAGATCTCTGATGAAATTAAATCATGCATGTTTCATGCATGTTTATACAGCCTAATATACATTTCATAAACAGGCTCTCTTTTCAAGGTCAGGTAAACAAAAAGTGAAAACATAAACAATATTATGTTTAGTTCCATCAAAAAATTCAGTTTCAAATGTAAGGTTAAAGTCTAAGTGCATTAGGCTCATATTGACCTTATGAATGGCTGTGAGAGACTGACAAAAAGCACAACTCTCATCGTAGAAAAATACTAGGGATAAGGTTCTTAGAAAGTTATAGAATGTACAAATATACCGGGTAAGAGGAATCAATAAAATAGTAAAGAGACTGACTACAGGTACGTGATGACTATCACCTTGACAACGGAGGTCTATAAACATTGATGTAAGAAGTTTACAACCTAGACAACAGAGGTCTATATATAGAGCTGTAAGCTAGACAACAAATGGCTATAACCTTGACAACAGAGGTCTATATATAGAGCTGTAAGCTAGACAACAAATGGCTATAACCTTGACAACAGAGGTCTATATATAGAGCTATAGGCTAGACAACAAATGGCTATAACCTTGACAACAGAGGTCTATATATAGAGCTGTAGGCTAGACAACAAATGGGTATAACCTTGACAACAGAGGTCTATATATAGAGCTGTAGGCTAGACAACAAATGGCTATAACCTTGACAACAGAGGTCTACATATAGAGCTGTAAGCTAGACAACAAATGGGTATAACCTTGACAACAGAGGTCTATATATAGAGCTGTAGGCTAGACAACAAATGGCTATAACCTTGACAACAGAGGTCTATATATAGATCTGTAAGCTAGACAACAAATGGGTATAACCTTGACAACAGAGGTCTATATATAGAGCTGTAGGCTAGACAACAAATGGCTATAACCTTGACAACAGAGGTCTATATATAGATCTGTAAGCTAGACAACAAATGGCTATAACCTTGACACTAAGCCCTGGTTGCTCAAAGGTTAGTTCCTGTTTACTAGAGGTTAGAAAAGAATACAAATTGTTGTAACTGAAAAAACAAGGAATTGTAAACTTGACACTTAAAAACATCAATTTAACCTTTCTGAAAAAGTTTAGAGATGTGAAATGATAAAGAATGTAAATTACTTTTTTTTTTATTCATATTTGAAAATTTTTACTAACTGCATGTTATCTCTAACCAGTCTTAGCACAACTGGGGCCTGATGTTTACATCTTTAACAAGAGGAATTTATATGAAATTTGAGAGATTTGATCCATCCAGTACTTCTCAAGAAATAACAATAACAAATTTCAGTGTAAAAATCTAAGATGTCCACCTGTTGGCCGTTTTTGTTTTTTCCTGATCAGCCTCAAAATTAATTGGGCACAGCTAGGGACAGAGGGGAACCTACACATGAAATCAGAGAAAGATTCATCCAGTACTTTTCAAGAAATAGCAATAACAAAAACTATTTGATGGACAGATGGACCACAGACCATGTGCCACAGAAGGAGTTTAATTTGAATAGCCCATCATTATCAGAGGTCTATAACAACAGAGCCAAGAGTTTACAACCTTGAAAACAGAAGTAAAAAACTATGACAAATGTCAGTAATCTATAACCTTACCAACAGTGGTCCATGACTTTGATAACATACATTTATAACTTTTACAACAGGTCTGTAACCTTTACAACAAAAGTTTATGACCTTATTAAAAGAGGTCCATGACTAAGACAACATGGAGGTTAAAATTTCTGAATAAGACACTGCACTTTTTTTTATATCAGAGTGATGTCACCACCCTTACTAATTCACAGCATGATTGCAGTAACGAGAAGTGAGTTACAGAAAAGCGACAGAAATCTAAATTACTTCATCGGAGAACAAAAGTCAAGTTGCAATGTATTTATACACCAAATTTATATCCCAATATTCCAAACAATAGCCACTGATACAGATTTCAGACCAATGGGATAGCAAATTGCATATACACCTGGAGATGTGGATACCCTAAGGCATGAACTTTCCTCATCAATATTTCAGATATTGTATACCTGTTCACACCAACAGTAAGATATTCAAAGAACAATGGATCAGGCATAAGATTGACTTTAATCTTGACCAGCCGGTTCATTAAGTGAAGTAAAGCTGTGTGCTGTAACTAGTCAGCATAAAGACAGGCTATGGGAATATTCATGGAATGTAGAATCTATCATTAAAAAATCTTACAAATATGCTATTCAACTACCTTCAATACTGATTCTATTCCAATGATTGTCTTGCTCAATGCTGTCTGTAAGAAGGCAGCAGTGCAGGCCTAATATATATGCAATGATTGTATTTGTATTGGTAGGTGATGGCTAAAACACTCAGCTTTATTAGAGTGTCTCATTTGTGGTAATGATCTAGGAATGACAGTCTGTAGGGAATACATATTGCCACAGAAAAACCTACACAGCCACTATATGGAAGCCTTATGATTCAAACAGGGATAAAACATAAAATACAGTCAGCTCTACAAATATCACACAATGCAATCAATACAAAGGGACGCCATGTTTATCTGGACATCTGGAGCGGTGTGATCCCTGCCACTCTCTCTACAGTGTTTCTAATTAAGGTAACAACACAGTACAGACAGCCTGCCTGAGGATTGCTGTTATTATTGTGTAGAATTTCTCAGTACTTTACAGCTATATCTTGTCAGATGTCTATGGGATGGGCGAGTAAAAAGATGAACATTTCAATATTTATGGATCATGCTATCACAAAATGGCATACACAAGATATAATTGCATGAGAGCAAGTTTGAAGATGTCTCCATAAAGAGCTGACATATTTGAAGTTCTACGTTAGAAAAAAACAAATTTTAAATTGGTAAAAGCCACCAGGGCTAATTTGAAATTGATTTACAACACTGTGGACTGAGATATGTTTAAATCAATATACAATGGGAATAGCATGAGAATGTCAGTAGATCATACACGTATCTCAGTAAAAGTGCTTTTATTGAATCTCTTTTAATTTACAATTGCAGAACAATCTTTAATACTGCCCCAGAGAAAAAAATATTTTCAAAACCATGGAAACACAGTTTTGAGTATCTTTACTATACCAGATGTTGAATCATATTATTAAGTTGCAATAATGAACAGTAATTAAATCAGAAATATTTTAGTCCTGTGCTCCGTAATAATGTAACATGTATGACCAGTCTAAATGATGGCTACTGTTTTAACACACTAGAAACCTT